GTCTCAAGGGCAAGGATCTATTCCATCCATGGTAAATTCCTTGAAAGCCTACGGCTCTCTGAAGAGAAACAGATCAACTAAAATTTTTCATAAGCATTACATCCATTATTGCTGGTACCATGACATAATTATTTTATCTGCTATTTACCAACCTACTGCAATTTCTCCAGCATTTCTTTGCAAATTTCCCATTGCCCCCATAACACAGCAATCAGAAAGGCTTATGCTTGGAGATAAAATTTGCTTCTATTACATCCGGACCATAATATTTTTCCCCTTGGACTTGGCCATTCTGATACATAATTTTTCAGAAATACGTGCTCCTGGAGGACTTTTAGGTGGCTAAGGACAGCAATACGTAATACTTTGAGCACTGAGTGTGACCTGCTAGCAAAGTGAAATAGGTGCATTGGGTCAGATCTTTCTTGCAGTGTATCTGGAATTAATGCACAAGAAAAAAGTTCCACAGGAAGAATAAAATGGCAAGCAACACAGTAAATCCTCAGCAAGAACAACCCAGCACACAGCTGAAAGACAGCGACACAGATATCCTACACTGTATGTTAGCGGTACGCAGAATTTTTTTGAACCTCTACTATTACAGATTTAGTAAACATTCAGCATTTCAGTTTTCCTGCGATTACCTGCTCTAGTAAGGATTCTCGTTCATCAATGAGTTTTTTCAGCCTGTCTGAAAGAGAAAACTGAAAGTTCAGTGCTGATTTAATTGAGTTGCACATTTCAGAGTCTCTCTGATACAAGAAGGAATTCAGGTTAGTAAAACTAATGATGAAGTTATGCACGTACCACAGGCAGGACGGGGAGGGGGTTGCAGCCAGGGGAAGTTATGCCATTCTCACAGAGCATGCTTGTCACGGCAGCAGCAGCACCCAGCTGCATGCAAAGAGGCTAATCTTCTACGTTAGGTTAGCATGCAAGAACTCTAGGGTCAAACACAACTGCAACACAAAATCTCACAAATCTTTACAGTTCAACATTATGAAAATACTGTAAACACCTATAATCGTAACTAGGCACGTTCGTAGCATTTTCACTTTTACTGAACAGTGTGGCAATGACACTTTGGAACAACTCCAGTGTCACGACACTAGTAAAACATTTCCCCGTGTCATTATCTTTGTTTATTTTTAAAAGCAGCAGCCTGGTAAAAGAATTACTCTTTAACATACTTAACATACTCTTTAATCCCTCATAGTAAATTCTCCCAGTCAAACATCTAATAGGTGATGGGCAAACTGTTGTGTTAGACTTGAACCTGGAAGCGCTAAAGATCAGCACATATGCGTATGTGGTATTCGTTAAGAAAGTACACGCTACAGAATTGAGACAACTGGAAAACAGAATTGGAAATGAGTAAACAAGTCACTTGGGTTTTCTTCCCTATTCCACAATACAAAACGTGAAAGCATTTTAGTAGGCGTTGTATGCAACAGAACTTGAATTTTGATCTCTCTGCAGGTACTTCACCTTACTAATTCAGAACCTTAGTTTGTTCAGGTACACCTCAACAGAAGTACACTGGGACACGGCATTCAGGTACTCTTCAAGAATATGACCTCAGGCAGCTCTTACTGCACAAGTCTGCCGGGCGGGTGTCTTGCAGTTTTAGTTAGTTTGTCTCTCTTGCCAGCCAGCAGTCATCTGTACAGAACCAGCCCAAGAGGCACCCAGAGCTCAACTCCACATCCTACTGAACTGTTAAAATACAAAGGTAGCTCGAGAAAAAAGGACTTCTTGTAAAGTGAGGCAAGGCAATTGACCAATTACAGATTAGAGGCTGGCGGGTTTGTTGTTGTTGTTTTTTAAACTAGCTAAATTCTTAGGGTCATAAGGGATTTTCACGTTGAGAGACTACAACCGTATTTTTGAAAAGCTTTAAAAAAACCAAACACTATAGTCCTCACTCATTGTTAAATCCTGAACAGGCCAAAGTCTTGTGGTTTACCCCTTGTTTCCTGTTAGCCCACTTAGTACAGGGAATAAAGAGTAAATTGAATTAAAGCATGGGGAAAAAAGTTTTCCAATGAAAGTCCCTCTATAATGGTAGACTTCTATAGTCCATTAACTAGTAATAATGTGGTAAGTCAACCCCCTCCTGTGTATACAATTTCCAATATACTAGCAATCATTCTAGAGGATAGAATAAAACCTTTACCTTGGCTTCTGATGTGATACACAAGTACAGATTCCAGTTCAGCAGTTCTATGCATTTGTTTTCAACACCAAGTCCTACTCATTTTTTTTTTTAAGCCATTTGTAACACACCCAATATTGTTACATCTGAGCATTGACATGGAAAAACAAACAAACAAACAAACCCACAATTTGTAAACTTTGAAGAAATTTTCAAGTATAAAATCCTACAAAATAATAAAACAGTTTCATATACCTACATATATAATAGCAGCTAGGAAGGGACACTGAGAACAGAAATTCTGCTAAAAGATGACAGATAAGGAAGAAAAATAAAGGCCAACGAAGAAAGCAAGGAAAGCAAACAATAGAAGAGAGGTCATATATGTCCAGACTGGAGATAGGGTTCGGTATCACATGTCAGCAGAGATCAAGAAATGAAGGTACTGAGAATTAGGAAAGAGAACAAGGACCAATACAGAAAAGAACCTGTAAGCCAGGATAAAATTAGCCCAATCTCAGAGACTCCAAAGGGGCCAAATGATCCACCTTAGTCCTAAAAAGATCCACCTTAACCCCAAACATAAGTTAGTCACGCACAGGTTTAAGTAACTTCTGTTAGCCCCACCACTGCCGTAGGATGAAATACACGCCTGCCTGATGAAAAGACACCTTCTCCAGTGCCCAGCCTGGAGGATCACCACCTTCCCTGCTTTGCAGGGCTGATGTTAGCATTTTGGGGTGAGCCTTCACATCAGATCTCCCCATCGCTTCTCCCTCATTACCAACTTCTGTGCACCCCACTGGGATAGGTGACATGCTGGCAGGAGGTTTTACAAGACCACAGGAATAAAAAGATTAGTTTATTAAAATCTCCATCTCTCCATCTCTGTAAAACCTCCTTGTTTTTGTATTTTAAAGGAGACGTTTTTCCAACAAACCAAGGATATGAGTTCTAGTACTGTGAGCGGAAAAGAGCAATCTACTGAATTAGCACACGGAGAAGCTAATTACACTTCTCCTATAAAACAGTCATTATGCTTATTTCACATAGGACGATACTACAAGGAATAATTAGCGTGTGAAATTCATCTCACACTTAAATTTAACTTTAGTAATGTGGTTCCCCACCCACTCACCGCACCGATTCATGGCTCATCTATGCAAAGCAGGGCAAGAGAGAGCCGATGTGAGAAGCTGGCCGTAGGCGCTCGGACACCAGGCCACAGAAACTGAGCTGCACTGCTCTGAGACCCTGCTCAGCATCCCCCACCCCGTGCCCCTTAAGGCTTCCTCTTTTCAGGGTTAGCGCTGAAAAATCCACCATCCGCATCTCACGCGCTGAATGGGGCTCGCTGCCGCGCTAGTCAGCGGGCTGCCCTGTGCAAAAGAAAAATGGGTAAGGTAGCAGCAAGTAAGATCGCTTCTTCTAGTCTATCTGCTGATTTCTTGGCTTCGTTTTAGACTTCAGGAAAAGGTTGCAAATTTGTCATTTTGCTGTCTTTGAAAGTCAAAACTGATGAAAGGGACAAGCTGAATCTTTTCTTGTATCCTGTTAAGGTATTAGAGGGAAAGTTGTACCCTTTGGCATTTTTCCAAGACGTGCGTTTTATAGGTATATCAAATCACTGCAATAATGGTTAAATAAAACAATTATAAGAAAATTCCAGCATCACTATCCCCTCCCCCTCCATAACGGTACACATTTCACTCGTGCCAGCTACCACATAGGGTTTGAGTGAGTACATTTTGAAAAGAACACCTAGAAATTCCCTTTATCCTCAGGGTGGTTTACCTGACAGGCCTCCCCTCTCCTCCCATGATGTGCATATACCCCTGCGATAGCTGAAGAGCTCAAGAACCCAGAGACCTCCTCCTCTGTGGTACTTGCCCACTTGCAACAAGACCAGCGGCCAACAGAGCTACCAAGAAGCTAACGTACGAGGGTGGATTCATGGTACATTAGCTATTTTTCACTAACTGTCCAAGTTGTTGCTCCTACCTTAGTTTCATCGAGAGGTAAGCTGATTACGATGGGATAAACGCATGTACACCAACAGTTAACGCTTGAGTTGCCATTATTCTCTCTTTTTTCTCTGACTTGGCTTTACAAAGGAGTTCTCTTACAGGTGTTTTGTTTTCTGAGGCGAAAAACTAGTTAAAAACAGCTCACTGTTAATTCCCTCACAACTATCCAGAAGCACTTTGATTAGAAACTGTTAAATTCATATGAAAAACATAAATACAGGAAATGCTGGCACGTACCTAATTTAACTAAGAGTTGCTTATACATCCATCCACAAGTATGGGTAAAGCCTGGCAAGCATGCTTCATTGTGTATTTAAGGTATTTAACATTCCAGTGTAAATACATTTAAAATACATTCAACATTAAACTGTGTATTACAGTTGTGAGCCTGGCAAAGATAAGTATTTAAACCCTGCTACATAGCAAGAGATGCTTTTAAGATCTATGACATTTTAGATTAGCATTTAGTATAAACCCTTAACGTAAACAACTGCTTATAGTTACAGAAACCATACTGAAGCTGTTGTAAGTTGGAAAGAAGCCATATCAAAATTAAATGTTTACAGTTCCTGGTGCAATCTCATATTCAAGGCCCTCAAACACCCAGGATGCCTTTTCCTAGCAAGGGAACTTTACCATCTATGTAGAAGAAAGCAATAAATATCACTAAGAAGAATGCTGCAGACCTAATAACTTACACTCCCTAATGGTAGCAAAAGAATCCTTATGTACCACATTTCTACTAAAAATGTTTTTGAAATAAGATAAATTTAAATAAATATTTATGCAGGTTTGTAAACAGCGCTCTGGACAGACGATTCAAAGTATAAAATATGTTTATTTCAATTATATACAGCTCAGTACATTTTGATACACATCTTCAAACTTGGCAGTCTGTTTGCACTTCCACTTTGTAACATCAATACAAACACATCTTGTTGTAGTCCCCTCCCAGCTCTTCAGTTTGCATTCCCTTCAGATATTCATTGCTTAAAACAACCTCAAAAGAATGTTTAATTATGCAAAACACACACTTCCTCCCAAGCAGTATAAAAGGTGCAGGAAGATCTATACCAACGGGTTGAAGTATCTCATTTATGCCAGCAATTCAACACGATCCAGCTTTTCAGAAAGGCATGGGGGCCAGTATACAGAACAATCATCTTTGGTCTGATATTCAGTAAAAATTAAGACATTCAAAATTATCATCTTTATCAAAAAGAAAGAGGGAAGAATTTTTCAGAGATTAAAAAAAAAAAAAAAGTCCTTCAAAACCATGTTTTGCAAAAAATATAATGCAATTTAAAAGTCTTCCAGGAAAAACAGATATTTTATATATTCATAGCTAGACAGTACTTGATAGCAAACCTAAGCACACATCATAGTGTGTATTGACACTTTCTTTGAAGAAAAAAAAAAAAACTGCCATGTGAGACATGGCGTTAAAGGCTTACTGTGGTGCAAAGTGCCTAAATTAAGGAAACGCATATATTCCTTTCAGCAGACTAAGACCTGTATGTTGCAATTTCTCCAAATTGTATATTGTTCCTTCAGAGTGTGCAGACTAAGCAGATTCACAGTGACCTAACTATATTTTGGCAGTTCTTCCGGCATACTGTATTTTGGAATATGTCCATATCAGAAACATACACAAAATGGAATGAGATTATCTTTTGCCATACTAAAAATTTTGGTTCCTAGGCTTTAATCAATCACAAATAAGATTCAACATTAGATCACAGCGTTGCAACAGTTCTGAGTTCTTTGATGAAGTATTACTGTACTTACTGTAGATCTAAGAAAGTAAGAGTTTTCATATAAAAGTTTCTCAGAAGCCATTATCCACACCAAGAGTACTTTAACTGCAAAATACTGTGAATAATCCATTTGTGAAGCTTGCTCTTTTGGTGATAAAGAGTTAATCTAAGAGAGCAAAACCAAACTTACACGTGTGCTTTCTTGTGGCTACATATGGCATTAAATAACTTAAAACATGCATCATTACCATTTATGTAACCCGACATTTATTATGTGAGATTTACCTACAAAGAAAGACCCCTTAGAGTATTCCTGATGTCTGATTTATTGTGCAAAGTGCGTGCTTCTGTACTGAAACCCAGCAAATGGCACATAACTAACTCTGAGATTCTGAACTCACGATATTGTGCAGTCGTCTTTGGACTTACCCTTACCCCTTCTACCACTTTGCAAATCCTCTTTGCTTTCCTCCCTGTTATTGCCAGCACCTTCCAAATCCTGTTCCAAAACATTTTCATCTGTCATTTTTTCCAGATCATTAGAGTCTGATGCTTCTCTTTTGTCTTCCAACACATCAGCCTCCTCATCAGTTTTCTGTGAAGATGCTTTCCCTTGCGCGTGCCCTGTTTCTTCAGTCTCACCCTCATTTTTATGCTGCAAGCTGTCATCTCCTGTCAAGGTGTCTTCAGTGTCTACGTTGCCTCTGCCTTCCACAATTTCTCCCGTTTGGGCAACTTCCTCAGTCACACCATGTGCTCCAGCTCCCTCTCCTTCCTGGGTATCCGCTTTCTCTCCGCCACATTCTTCAGTTTCCAGTATCTGTTTTGATTTCTCATCAAAATCAAATGCATCACCATAATTTTCCACTCCGTCCTCTGCTTGACCCTCCAATTTAACTTGTTCACTAACATTTTCATCCAGCTCAGCAGTCTGTGCAAGAGAGTCCACCTTTTCCTCTGATAAAGCTTCCTTTGCCTCACCCTGCTCATCTATTACTTGATTTTTGTCCTCTTCCATCCCTTGAACCTTCTCATTTTTATCTTTCTTTTTCTCTGTACGTTCACATACATTTCCTAGCTCTGGGTTTTGCTCTTTGGCTTCTGTGTTGCCTTCAAGAAAGTGCTGTAACAGTTTTGTAGCTCCCTGCAAAGAATTATCTGCTTCTTCCTCAGAAGCAAATCCACCACAGTGGTGGTCTGTAAGCTCCAGCTGTTTCTCAGTTTCTTTCAATGCTTCTTCATCAACTTTCTTTTCAGTAGTTGCCTTAAGATCTTCAGTTGATTCCTGTCTAGATTCACCTTCCTCTTGTTTAACTGCATTCTGAGCTTCACCTTCTAGAGAAATATTTTTCTCTCTCACTGTATCGCATGTTACTTCTTCACTACACTGAACTGACTGAATTTCTACGTTTGGTTTTAAATCTTCTACCCCTTCTGCTCGACTTTCCTTCCTTTTCCCAGACTCATCCTGTATTTCCACTTCTGATTCCAGAACGTTGCAATCTGAAAGACTTGGGTCTAAGCTGCTTTCCTGAGATACCGCTTCTTTCACGACGTCCTCGTCTGGCTCTGCCTGCTGCAGTACACTTCCTTTTCCCACAGTAATACAGTCTACAGCCTCTCCTGATGCCTTCTCTTGCTCACCTGTTTCTGCAGAATCTGAACATGCCTCCAGTTTCTCTGTCAATACTTCCTTCGGTCCGTCCTTCTCAGTTAGAGCCTTTTCATGTTCTGTTTTATCTTGCATTTTTTGTTCTTCTAATGATACTATGTGACCATCCTCTGAAGAAATTAGCTGAATTTGTGTCTGATCTCCATCTTCCTTTTCACTCGCATCTGCTGGGGCACCGTTTCCACGTGACTCCTTCCCCTCCATACCCACAGAGTCTGTTTTCTTTGTCTGTCCCTGAACTGCGCTCCCCATCTCATTTTCTTCTTCAGTTCTACCACTTTCTGTTTCATCAGTTCTCCCATCAGTACACTCTTTGCCTCCAACCAGCTCTCTCTCCAAGACATTCAAAACCTTCTCTTCAGTGCTTTCTCCCGAGTGTTGGGGTCTCTCAGTATGACTTGCCACGCTTGGCTCTTTGATAAATGAGCCTGCTACTGCAACTTCTGGAAGCCCTGACTGATGAGAAACCAACTCACAGCTGCTACTCCTCATGGCAGCTTCCTGATCCTTTTCATTACCACCCACTGCATTACTAGCTTTAAAATCCTCTCCTTCTCTCTGTTCTGCTGCAGCTTTTTCCAATTCACATTCTGCAGCTTTTTCCAATTCACATTCTGTATCTAAGTCACTAGGCATTTCCTGAGGAGTCTTAAAAACCTGATCTTGCAGTGAGCCCACCTCTGAATTCTGATTTGTCCTTTGATTTAAGTTACTCTGTTCAGCTTCTTTACTTACAGGCTGTTGGGCTTCCATGCTACTGCCTGTTGATTCTCTTTCCTTTCTCAAAGCATCTGCATCACTATCATCATTTGAAAAAACGTTCCCTGACACATGTTCTGGATGGCTTTGAATTTGTTCTGTAAGCCTACTATTGGTTAACGTCATTGTTGACATGGCATCATTTTCTTCAATGATTTTTTCTGCCTTTGCATTTTCATCAGCATGCAATGTCTTTATTTCCTGCTCCTCAGACTCCTCTTTGTGCTCCTCCTGCTCAGTATTCTGCAAGATTTCTCTTTTCCCCACATCCTCCAAAATCTCATTTTTCATGTCCACTTCATTGGCTTTGCCTAAAAGACCATTGAGAAAGTTGAAGGGACCACGCCATAGCACTCACCTCCCCACTTAAAGCCCGAAAGAGAATGAATCAAAGAATAGGTTAATAGGAGATCAGCTTTTGCCAATTATGTGAGGCAAAGCAGCAATTGAATTAGTAAGGGGTTGGTTTTCTTCTGATCAGCGAAGTTCACCACCACCCTCTCTCAAAGCAAGAACAGTCTCTGGTGCTGGCTTGTGTTTTTGTAAAGTAAAAGATTTATGCTCTAGGCTGTGTGAAGTACAGCTTTTGTAGATGAGAAGAACTTTGCTTCAAGCAGTGCAATTTAACAGTAATATCTGCAGATATAACACTGTAAAAGTAAAGATGTTTTGTTCTCGGCAGTATTCTCTATAACTTTAACCCTAACGTCGCTCTGTGCACACAAGAGTGCCTGATGCCATTGCAATGAAGTAATCATGCAGTATTCAATAGTATTTTATTCCTAACTATCAAGAACAAGCATCAGTGCATACTACAAACACCGTGAAAGCAAAATCTGATTGGCAAGCACATGTTTTGGCTGTTTAAGATAACCATCAGAGCGCAGGTACTTGGTGAGTGCCCCTTAGAGCCACTTTTTCCACCCAAAAGGAATGGGACTTTTTTTTTTTTTTTTTTTTGAACAGTGCTTCTTCCAGTTTATATTTAGAAGCAGTAGACATTAAGACAGTGTTCTTGGTTTCAACAGTTAGCTTTTGGGTCTATGTTGTGCCTGTTTCCACAGAAACAGAATAAGGAGAGATAGAGAACATACGCTACATTTAAAAATATACCCTTACCTTGTTTTTGATGTTCCAAATTGTTTCCACACAAAAACTGAGTAAGGATAAAGCAACCAACAGCTCAACAGCTAAAGGCAAGATAACTTTCACTTGCAACAGTTGGCTGCCTGCTGCTATTTGCTAGCATGGTGATTTCGAACAGCAACAGCAAGAGCAAAAGTCAAAAATTTCCTTTCCTTTCCTTAGCGTAATAACAATAGAGTGAGTTCACCTAGTGGCCATTTATCACTACCTAAGAGGAAAGTTTTTGCCAACCAGATTTCTCCTCCTTGACACTATCCAGCTCACAGAATCATATTCTTTGAGTTTAACAGCACTAATCCAGTTACAGCAATTAAACGTTGAAATTTTTATATTAACTGCTCAATAGTACTAGATACCAAGAGTGAAGAATTCATGCATTAGTGTGTTTTAACAGTGCCGAGCACTATTGTTCAACAGACATTTACAGTTCTCAGTTATAAAAGAACCAACTTGTATACTGGTTTTATAGATGAAACTAAAATGCTTTTACTCTGATTCTTCCAGGATGATTCCTGGATAATTTCAAACTGAGGATTTAAATCTAGATGATTGCTACTTATCTGCAATATTTAAAATTGAATTCTTGTCCTTTGTCTTCTTGAATGAGAGATTCCTTTTGAGGAAACTGCACGATATACTTGAAGTGATAATAAATATTAAGCAGAAAAATGCATAGGAAGTGATTCAACAAGTAGCATGCTGCGTGATGTGTTAATTGTCCAACTAACAAATGCCCAATCTCCAAGCAAAGATGAATGAATGAATGAATGGACAGAGAGAAAGATACAAAAGCATATACAGCACTTACCTAGTGTCCCGTCCCCTGTTGTCTTTAGTGCTTGAGTTGTGCCTTGAACAGTTTTGGAAGAATCCAAGTGTCCTTCATTAACAAGAATGTCTGATGTCTCCCCATTGGTGGCTACTTCAGAGTCTGGGATTATGCCATGTTTCTGTGGAGAAGCAGAAGCAATACTTTAAAGCCTGCTGTTTAAAAAGAGCAAGATTGTTCAGATGTTCCTGTCCTTGAAATTTTGAACACCTCAATCATTCCATTAGAAAAGGCTAAAAGTCAGAGAAGAACACAGACTATTACAGTTGTTCTCAATTTAGCTATCATCAGAATAAGCACATGAAGCTAAATTAAAAAAAAAAACAAAACATAAAACAGTCATTTAAAGTGCTCCCTGTAGAAGAATTTCCTACAAAAGCAACTACTGAGTACTGAATACCACAGTCTATACTAAGAGCTCACAGTCACATATTAGAGGTATGGACTTCATTAGATAATTCTTGAAAAGGCAACTTCAAGGCAGCATCAAAACAGAGTTCTCGTTACTGAGCTAAAAATCAGACTTTCTGCCAAAATGTACAAGAGGAAAGGGTCAGCAGTTGAATACAGAACTGTTTTAGCTACAGGTTTCTTTCATTCCTCCTGCATACCTTCAGTTGTTCCTTCAGCACAACCACTTCATCTCTAAGGTCATCCCGCTCACTCCTGATGGAATCAAAGAAATCTTTCTGCCTCTCTAAAGCCTGAGTTCCCAACACAGACAGAAGGCAAGCAGGTGTGAAGAAAGGAAAGGAAACAAGTGAAAAGTAAGTGTAAACAAGAATGAACAGGTTTAAGATATTCAGAGATTTGTGAAAGTGGCACGTATGAAGAAGGTAAAATTTACAGATTGAAGGATTGAGGTCACATACACATAGATAAACTTCAAATCCAAGAAGTGCACAGCTTATTCAGCAATCGTTCAGTCCAAGGAATTCCTATTAAAAACATTCAGATCCCAGTCCTTCATTAGGGTTCAGTGACATGGGCAAATGAGGATCCACTTTTCATTCTCATGTACTAGACAAGCTAATTCACATCCATATTACTTTAACGTAGGACTTGCATTATTTCTTCAAGTTACATGTATTAACAGAAGAGCATGAAAGTAGGCACGGCAATTCTTACTAGTCTGTTAATTCCATGGGTTATTGTCAAGGATGCAGCATGCTTTAATTAATCTAAAACTGTCGACTCTTCGTCTTTAGACTTTGGGATGCACCAGGTGCAAATGTGTATTTTGCCACTGGAACCCCCTGTTTGTGTATTTGTATAGAAATATCAGAACAGCAGCAAAACCAAATAATTTTGCCGTTCTGAATTTTAAATTGCTAGAAGTTATTGGACGTCATCAACATGGACAATATGCCAGATTTCCTTCCTCCTTCTATATTCAGATAAGTCTTTCAGTGCTTGTTGTCAGAAAAGAAAGCCATATGTGTGGGTTTTTTTTTTTTTTTTCCTCCTCAGTGGGTTTCCATTTGGCTTTGATGGGGTGATGGTTAGGGGGAAGAGCAAGGGAGAAACAACTACTTTCATCCCAACAGCCCATAAATAAGTCTATTACTTCTTTATCACACCCCAGCTTTTGCTCAGTCCACAGGCTAAGCCTGAATTCGACTTAACTTTACTTAAGTCTGAAGTAAAAATTCCATGGAATTGCATTATGAATACCCTTCATTTCATTAAAGAGCACCTCCTTTCTCAATATGGCATATACATATGGTGCACCACAGTAAATAAATTACCCTAGCTTTTGAAATCAGACCAGCTGATAAGTTTTTCTTGGATTTTATCATATTGGCCAAAGACGAAATTTGCTATCTGCTAGTTTGCTGTAATATAACGAGACAGCCACACCAAGCAAAGTCACTAAGGAGGATTTTATTCATGCGGTTTTGCACAAGCAGATCAGCTGAAGAACGACAGTGCCACTCTGAACACATTTCAGGAGTTGACAGTCCTACCCCTATTTTTTTGTCTTTCCACTCTATTGTCTCCTGAAGATCAGAAATTTCCCTGACATAGCTCTGCTGTTTCTGCTGCAGCTGTTGAATTTCCTGAGAGAGAGGAGCAAAACAAGAACACAGAAAGCAGGTAACAGGTTAACAAAGAAAGTCAAGACTGCAGTGATGCCAAGGAATGAAAAAAGTCAGGATTTAAAGCAAAAGAGTATCTACACACACAATTTTATAGTCCCCGATCTCTAAAAACCTACACTTCTTTAAGCAATATTACTATCAACAAGATGACATAAAACAAAGACAGCGCCATCTGTTTTCCCCACATCTACACAAACGGTTATGCAAAATGTAGTTTACTATGTATTTGTGGACAATGCAAAAAGTCCAGTTGCAGATCAGATAATACTTGTGATAAATACCCTTTCAGCTAGTCAGCCCTGAACCTGCTTGGTCTGAAACACTCGTGTTTCTTGAGGTGAGAAATCTGAGTAGGGAATAAGATTCTCCATACCTCACCCTTCTACACACCTACTGTTATGAACAAACTAATCAAAGAAGCCATTAAAAACAATGAGGAAGTTACTTACTGCAAGCATTTCTTCTCTTTGCTTCAAAGCTTCTTTCATTTCCATGAACTGAAACTGCAATATGCTATGAGCGTGCTTTTCCCTCTCAAATTCCTATGGATAATGAAATATTTATGAGCTTATTTTGACTGCAAACACGCAGCCCATGAAAGAAAGGAGAAAAACATGCCTAAGCACACAAAGAAAATGCTTACTGCAATGCTACCCTTAATAGTCTTCTAATCACAGTCCCACAAGACTCCTAATTTTTATCTTATTTTTCCTTTGCCAAGGAGCTATTATTGAATCAAATTCAGAACAGTTTCACAAGTCGAGCAGCAGGCCGACTATGAATTGCTTTCATAGCAAAGTCCTACTAACTTCATAGATGAATGGATGGGAATTTAACCCAGTCTTTCCAAAGAATAGTGTACTAAGTGTTAGCTAGATGTTAAGGAATTAAAATAACATATTTTCCAAAAACTGTGCGTTTTGAAGCGCCCTATAGTAAAGCATCCCAAGCTAAAGAACTAGTTCTGAAAAGCTAACACAAGCCTCAAGTTTATTAATAAACACCAATTCATTAGCGTCAAGATGCTGGATTCGTGTAATGCTTAATTCAATACTCAGCCACATAGCTGCCTTAATATAAAAACTGCACAACTCTCCTGTGGGCCTTTTGAACAGAGCTTTGTGCACCAAATACTCAGAAAAGAAACGGGGAATTCTCCAGAAGTCAGTATGAATTGAATTTGCTTTAAAGATGCAGTAGAAAAGGATATGCTAAGGCTATACTGATCTTACATGTAAGACATTTCTTCAGCAGTTGCTTTAGAAGAAGTGAAGCTGGGGAGAATTTCCATTTGTGCAACCACACAGGCACGTAAGATACCACTAAAGCAAGCGAAATAGCAGCAACTAAAACAATAACTTATTAAACTGCTGTTCAGGATTTTAAACTGCTCCCTCCCAAAGGCATCCGTTTGGCCAAAAAAGTCTTTCTCTGTTCAACAGCATGCCACAGCTATATACGTACTTTACTTTTTTCTTCATACTGCCTCCTGGATTCTGCCAGCTGTTCTTCTAACTCTAACAGCGCATCCTTCAGGGTATCTACTTGGTACATGAAGTTTGTTTTCTCATTGTCTAGCTGAGCATTTGACACCATAGCCTTTTTATATTTCTCTTCGACTTCTGCTAGCGAGTCCTGCAAAGAATAAGCAACCACAGTCAGAGATCAATCAGAAAAGCCACTTTGCCAAACAAGACCTCGAGCAAGAAGTACTAAACCACCAGCATGCTGCATATGCCTACTGCAACCAGTGCGAATCACGTGTTCAAGCCTTAGGAACTGTCCTGAGGTGACGATACCTCCCCTGTGCTTTTACAGACTTCTGTTCATCAGCAAGGAAGCTTACCTTAAGATGGATAAAACGGGTCCTTTCCTCTGCTGTTTGAGCTGCTGTTTTTGCAGAGTTCTCTTCCTTCTTCCCCCCGCCCCCACCCCCCTTTTTTTAAAAAAAGGTAAACTGGCCTTGCTTTTAGATTGCCCTAATGGACTAGGCTTTAAATCAAGGCAGTTTAGCAATCACTTCACCCAAGTTTCAGGGATTCTTGCAATGGGGGGCAGAAACAACTAAACCTACTGACTCAGCAATTAGAATTATCCAAGGAAAAATTGTAGCTTCTGTGACCCGATTGTTTTTCCATTAGGTTCCTGTAACACACCCCACATTCCCTCTTTATAAGCTTTCTCGGCAAGATACAATTCCCAGTGTCTTGAAAACTCCTCCTATGAATTCAACCTGAAGATAAGAGTTACTGAGGTATTTAATAAATAACAACAAACAGTGGCTAAAATAAGGATCAGGATCATTGGATCTTTTTCCATGTTGCACAGTCAGACTTTTCAGTATGTGATTTCAATACAGAAATAAGAGACTCTCAAAACAGTGCAAATATGCAAACAAGACGGACACTTGTGCCAATGTTTTAGTTTACAGGTCAAGCAGTTTCTCTTGGAGTAAGAGCAGTATTAGAATTACAGCTAGAGCACAGGTGAGTTTCATATACTTCCCCCGGTATGCCGTTTTTACCAGTTTATTAAAGAGAACTGGGGACCAGCATGGTGATATGATGACAAAATCAAGGTCTGCATTAGTTTAGTTCAGTTTTCTATGAACAAATAAGAGAATTTGTCTTTAAGGACTTGAATTTGTAAAGATCCAACCACAAATTGTGTTTTAGTGCACTTTCCAGCCCAAGGATGAGACATACCAAACACAGAAAAGCAGCCAGGATTTGAAAACAGCTGTATGATTAAACTGCAGAAATCAGCTGGAAGGGAAGTATATGCAAGTAAGAGTCTAAGACAGGTGCTGAACCCCTCCTTCAGCATGCTAAATTTTTTTTTTTATTAGCATCAAGTTCCACCACAACGCTGGACTACGGACTTGACACGAAGCACCTTTTTCTATACCAAAAGCAAAGCCAGAATTAAAGAGGGTCCTTGAAAACCTGATGCAGCTTAGGTACAAATCACCACAAAAGGTACTCTAAGAGATACCAAATGAAAAAAACTAACTACATTTTCTATGCAGTGAGCTTATTTTGCTACACACCAATCAGGGAAAAAAGAGTTAGGCTTTTCAAAAAAAGGCCCAAACTATTCTTTTTCCATTTACAACTCACTTAAGACAGCAGTAACTTCACATGTCGCAGCATTGAGCATATCAAAAACACGGTCAATATTTCATGTTGGTATATGCTGCATTATATGTCTGGATGTCTACTTGTATCTTTGCAAGACTGCCTTTTTTAAAAACGCAGCTAATGTTGCTGCTCGCTTATCGCAGGGTGTTACGCTGACGCATACGTTGCTGCACCGAAACTATTTTACAAACTTCGTGAGGGTGGTAAGTGCTTCCTCTCTGCCAGTGCTGTGAGTGTCCGTTCTTTGGGCAACCAGTAGAGGAACTGTTTAAGGGTGACTTCTGAGATCTAGGTGTGGAATCTAAACGATGGCCTTCACCTCCGCATGCACAACTTTCCAAAGGCAGGCTGGACCTCAAAACAAAATGCGAACACGCACATCACCTTTGAAACTCTGATTTTTCATAGCACTGTAGGCCACAAGTTTTAGTTTATTTCCAATTTGGGGAGGTTTCCTGCATTATGCAATTATTAAAAAAAAAAAAAAAACTAGTGAATTTGTTAGTAAAGTGATTGCCTTCTTAAAACATCAAATAAGACATGCAAGAGTAATCAGCAGCCTTTCAGTTAACATTTAGATGCATTTCTCACCACAACCAATGGACATCAGAACAGACACTTTTCTGGCTGATGAAACGCTTTTCACACAAACTTCTAACCCCTCCCAGAAGAACAGCATGCAAGGTCAGTTCCAGTTCTCACGCTGACTCTCTGAATGCTTAGCTGGTGTTAATGATCACAGTTCCAGGCTACAGCAAACCAGTACCTTCATTTCTTTCAGTCCCTGCATGTATTTTCCTTCTATATCCTGAATCTGGTCCTTTAACTCATAGATATCCTGGGAGAAATGGTGAGAAAGGTGAATGATGTCGCTGAAACTAACGGGCAGTAAATACAGCTGATTCAAAGAAGCAAGTGTTCAAAGTTCCCATTTAAGTATTTCCACCACACAGGTCGAGCAGTCTGATCCTAGCCTGAAGACTCGCCAGCCAACGAAATTTCTTGGCCAGAAGTTTATTCCAACTCTGCTCTTTTTGACTGGAAAAATAAAATCTTCAGCAATACGGACAAGAGGCAGACCCAGCTTCCAAGCCCCCACCAATTACCTGCCCTAGTCACAGAGCCCTTCTCTCCCTGTCACTAACTGCAAGCTTGACATTTCCCTACTAGAGCTTGCTTGGAAGCAGATTATCACTGTGTTTGAGATACTCTGATACTAAAGGTAATAACTGTTAAAGCAAGCACAAAAAATACAGGTGGTACTAGAGACGCAGGAAGTACAGTATGAAAAAGTCACCCTACATTTAATTATGAGCCATATTTCACAGTCTCTTTCTTTGTCCTTGGTCACCACCAAATGGCTATCTTTCAGTTATTTTTACAGTGCTCAAATCGAGACAGACCTATTCATACTTGAGGACTCCAATACAGATTCCAGATGTTTTAACTGGCTGTAATTTTAGAAGAGTTTATAAACTGAATCCATGAAATAAACAGAACACACATTCTCAATTTTAAAATAGTCTTCAGAACAGAGCATTAAAAACTTAACTAAAAAAAATTTAGCGATCAGCCACCCAGACTTTCACTCAATGGTATGAATATTGGATTGAATACCTATTTACAATTCAAACGTGCCTAAATATGGAATTAGGAATTAATTATGAAATATTCCCCTCCCAAGTTAGCCTCCAATAAGCGTGCAGTGCTTCTTGCATCATTTCCTATCACTGTATTTCCACAGATCAGTATGAGGTGTGTCTATTATGATCAGCCTGTTGTACTATCATACGTCGCAGAACTTTACCCAAAAATTCCTGCAGTATGCCGCTAGCTTCCCAGCAGTATCTCTCTAATAAAGCTATTCGCTATTTACAGCATATAATTCATTTTTGTCAAGACTGCCAAGAGGGGGGAACAAGCCAGTTCCTTTTTGCTAACAGACCTAAAAGGAAGCTAGCTCTTTAATACTAACGCAGGGGACAGTTCTAGTTAGCGTTAGCACTGTCAGTCCTAATTCTTATTGCCGATTGCCACACACAACGATGGGAACAGCAAGACTCCTTTTAAATAATCTTATAGCTTATTCACTTGTTAGAAAAAAAAAAACGCAAGGCATAAAACCATTCTGACCAAAATAACCATTCTTAAGAGAAGATTCCTAGCAACGCATGCTGTTCTTAAATATATCTCACCTTTATTTCTCTAATAGATGCCTCCGTATCAGCTGAGATGGAGGTGTCTCCACTGCCTCTCCGTGAAGAAGTCCCACCCAGTGAAGCTAAGGTAGCTGCTGATAAACTGGAGACAGTACGAGCTCCCTAGAATCACACACAGTTAAAAAGGGTTGGTTTTTTTTTTTTTTTAAAAAAAAAAGCCCGCATCGCCCTGAGCAGGGCTTAAATGATTGGCACCATGAACGAGTATTATTCCAGTAGAGCAGATGGATCGTCATTAGGTGTTCAGCTTTGCATATCAGCAAGGCAGAAAACAGCCAAACCAGAAACAAAACCCAGCTTCTAACATCAAGTTCTACATCCTCTGTTTTGAAAAAGGTGCATGTAATTGTTACTGGGAGTTAGAACACGTCTATGCAACTTCAGCAGCCCCAAATCAAATCAGGAGGAAAACAGCTGACAGCAATTGTCATCTAGGTATCTAAAAAAAACAGAAAGAAGTCTGTGGCTCTTATAACATTCTAATTTCCTATCAGTCTCTGGTGCCACAGAAGACATCACAAATCAGTACTAACAGCAAACCCAGAAAAAACAAACGCTGTTGTTTCTCAGCTCCTGCAAGCTCCCTCAACAAGAGAAGGTTTATCATCAGGCCAGAAGAGGTGAAACCTTGCACTTCTCGCCTATGCAAATTTGATTAAAATGTAACCTTCTAGGAAGAAAAATCAAAGATCAAGATTTAACAAGGGAAACTAATGACAAAAGATTGATCTGATGTATTTAAATACTGCTGTCTCTCTAATAAGAGTTTGTACGGCTTGGCTTCTATTAATTGTAAATTAGATAAAAACCTTTAGGAACTAGTATTACCTTGCCAAACAGCATTTTCAAAACTTGTATTATTACATTTTGCAGATGCTTTTTGACAACTCAAGTCCTTCTCCTTTCACTCCTATCTATATACTCTGCAGCAGCAGCAGTCTCATTAACTGTTCTATGCAGCATCTTCCTCTTTTTATTTAATTTTACATAAGGCTGTAAAAGCTGAACAAAACTAGCATTCATATAGCTTAGCATTAAAGCAGTTTCAACTCAGTGCTGTTGAAGGTCAACTACTTAACTGCTAAATGACCAAGGTTTGCCTTGAAAACAGTAGCAGTAGAAGGCTCCGATAATTTGAAGTTTTGCCCCACAACGAACTTTATAACGAGATTTCTGTAAATTCAGCGTGAATTTGACCTACCAAAAAGAATGTGAAGAAACAGCTATTATCAGAACAATTCAAGACCTTTCTTACCTTCTCAAAGTCTTTTTCTGGCCTTTCCTCAATCTGTAAAACAAAGATTTAGAAGGAATCATTAGACAACAGAGGACAAGAGAAGACAGTGAGATACCAGAAGTGCAATTCTTAAATCTTTAAAAGACTTTTCATTAGCAACTTGTATCCACTGAAAGAACAACGAGCTCACTTAAAACAGTAGCGTCCAGGATGGCATCTTGGGCAGAAAGTCTGGACAGTTCACCTCAAGTTTCTTAGTAGTGCATCATTTTAAGTGGAACATACATTTTGATGAAAAACTATAAGGTCTATTAAATAAGTTGGAGGAACACCTTTTTCCATATGCTACATGATACTGTTTCAAACATTAAGATGCCGTTCAATCTACAAGCTGACAACGCAAGAATAGAAAAGCTGTGTGAACATGCATTCAAACCTCCAAATACCTTTCCCTGGAAATAAAAACTGTTGCACACAACTGCTGTGCTGACATTTGTACCTGCTCCTGCTTTTTATTTTAGAACAACTTAAAAACCACTCCTCAAACCAACCCAGAGCAGCAATTGTGACTTATTAATATTTTAATTGAAAGATCAGTAGATTGCCAGACCAAGAGAGCTCCCTGAAGCTTGAGCGTAATGGACCTCAAGTGAAATAAACCACCTTCGAAGCCTAGCCACAAGTCCTCCCACCATTCCAGAAGAAAAAAAAAAGGTACCAGTCAGACTGAATGGATCGCAGTCCCTCTGCCCCACTTTCCAAAAGTGGGAGGAAGAGGGGGGAAAAAAAAAAAAAAAAAAAAGAGAGAGAGAGATCCGAAGCTTAATCACCTCAGAAAAGTGTTCTCTGCTCATAACAGGAGACCTCTGACTTCAAGCAAAGATCCAAGTACAGCTGAGAATACATGAACTAATCCTCAAGTAAAATATCAAGGGCCCTGCTCAAAGTCTAAATAAACAGCCCATTTATGATTTCAGTAGTTCACTAGAATTTACTGATTCAGAAGACAGATCCTCCAAAAACTAGTCTCAAAAAAAAAAGAACCAGAGCCAAAGTAGCATTTAGGAGCACAGAAAATATATGAGTGTTCAAAAGAAAGTTACAGAGCAAGACTTAAACATTGGGAAAACACATACAACCTGGGGAAATTTTTTTTCCTTGATGGGAACAATCCTATTCATTTTTTACTGCTCTGAAACAGAGCAAAATATCCAGAGTCCTAAGAGTGGAAATTTAAAATCAAGTGTTTTGTGATGGTTCAATTTGCTATTGAGGAAAAGAAGAAGAAGGAGGGAAAAAAAAAAAGTCTTTCAAAACATAGCATATCATGAACAGAAAAAGCCTTAAGAAAGGAAAAGCCTAGCAGAACTCAAAAAGCCCAGGATATTTCTACTTCTGGAAACATATAACAGCAGAGTCGATATGGTTTTCCAAAACATTTCTGGAAAACAAATGGCTTTTCCAGGTCAAGAGCCTAACAGCTAAAGAGCTAAACAGCTTTCCAGTCCTTGCTGTTTGCAAGGACTGGAAGAACAAGGGACAACTTCTTCAGATGAAGGTAGGTGACAGTTGAGGCTTAGCTGAAAGCAGATCTCATGGAAATAAAACACACTCAAGAAAAACCTCTCTTTCCGATCAATTCGGACTTGTGATCATTTTTTATTTGAATTGAACAAAGCAGCCATGCATGGAAGATCCCACTCGGTGTTACTTTTTGTATTGCCCATGGTACCTCTTAAAAAGCAAGCAGCCTCCCTTCCCCCAAAACTTCGAGGTACCTACTACAAATCAGCGTTTTACACTGACACTGTATTGCATATCCTAAATAAATTCCCAATGATTAGCATTAAGAAAATTTAAGACTTAGGCTTCCAAGTAAAACATGCCAGATTTAAAGCACTAGATATAGGTTCCCCAGAGACAGTGAATGCAAAGTACTTAGGTAATAATGGACAACATATCTATTTTTGAGAACCCTCTTAATTGGGATGGAATAAGAAAAAAAAGAAATCACTACTGGACCCAGATACTTCTGTTCAGACCCAATAAGCAAGTCGGCTTTATTTTTGCAAATAGCCTGATGTTTTCATGCCAGTCAGCTGGCAATCCAAGGGGGGATTTGGCAGCTTTCTTGCCAAGCCAAACACGATGCTGAGGTTGAACAAGAAAGTTGTGGCACTACACATATGGGTGTGTTACCACAGCTTAGGACACACACAAATCATCTCCAGGAATTTCTGTCCAGCCTTTTGCAAAATCTACATTAGAGGTTGAGGGTAGAATTAAAAATATTGCTTTCCTCAGCGATAATCGAATCACAGAATGCACTCAAATTCCATAAGAAGAATAAAACCTGAGGTTGCACAATGTGATAAAAGGAGCAAATGTCAATATTGTTTTAACGATGCAGAAAAATGGTCAAATAAAAGTTTCCATTTATAAAAGGGAAAAGAGTGGAAAAATATGCGGCGAGAGATATGCATTTGGTAGCTATTTCTAGGCCGAGCACTCATAACCACAGCTGGCAAGCTTGCTGCAGGCTTCTTGCAAACAATCTTTAACAATTCTCTAAGCTCCTGGGAGAATACAGTCACTCAAAGCTATCAAGAAGCTGCAAAGCTGGGGTGGTATCAAAGACTATAGCACATTTGCTTTTCCGTTGTGCTGCCCCGCTACGCATGCCCACTTGGTGCCATGAATTAAACGCCCAAAGTCTACTCTCCTCCAAAAGAACAAGTGCCACCACCAATTTTTTTCAATATGAACATTTAAAACTGGGATCTGATTTGAGAATAGTCAGCTTCGCTTGGCGCCTGGGAACACACAAAACACGCTTTATGAAGAAGCTCCCCGCTCTGATATAGTATCAGGCACTTGGAAAAGTATAGGCGCTTTTCTAGCAAAGAAGTCCATCTGAAACAATGAACGTATGTGGCAGTGACACCCAAACGTCTTGTAAGCAAAAGCTGTTCAGAGTGTCTTGTGGAAGACCAAGGTCTATTTTACATGAATGTTTTATACAGCTTTGATTCCGCTTTAAAATAATATATTCACTGCTTTAAAAGAGAAATTGCTCTTTCCGACAGCAGGCAGCCACCAGAGGGAACTGCAGGTTTTCAGCCTTCCTCCAGTCTCCTGCAAGCCCTTTGGCATTGGATCCAGAAAGAAACCAAACAGAGAAAGCTCAGGAGGAAACGTTTATTTTTATCTGAAGTTAGACAAAGTTCTTGCCAAAAATACTTACCTTCCATACCATCAAGCAATAAAGAACACCAAAATTTAAATAGGCTGAAAGCAACCCCTCTGCTTTCACAGGGCTACACTCGACATGGGCTTCCGTGCAAATTTACTGGCTTTTGAAATGTCCACACGTTAAAAAAATATGAAGGCCTAACAGGACACTCGCTAGGAAAGGAGATACAAAGAGCAATTCACTTAATGGTACAAGGCCTTTCATTTTTAAAATATTACATCATTTTTCCTTTCTACAAAGGTATGGGTGTCTTTCTACTCACAGATTACCTTCTTCATTGCCAATAATTTGGCCAATTCATGCTTGGGTGTATAAGAAAGAAGGAAAAGGAAGTCATTTTCAGGAAAAGCCCAGCATGCAGATCCTTTGCAAAGGGAACGGGCTGCTCTTTGCAGAGTAAAGTACAACGGGATCACAGTGCAGCCTCTTCGGAAAGCTATTTCAGAACAAAACCAGAGCCCTGTTACAAAAAAGTCAGCAGGATCGGAGGCTTACCGCAGCTGGACGCTCCACAAGAGCGCAATGATTCCTCAAGCCTATATATGGAAATACTGCCTGTTTTTGGTAGATAATAAAAACAGTTTTGTACCACATTTGAAAAAAATAAAAAAAATAAAAAAAACCCCACACATTTATCTCCTCCTGAGCCAGCTAGCAGGTTAACTAACCCTTGAAGGTGTTGGCCACCGGTGAGTATCCAGGCTGAAATCAGAGCCGCCAGCAGCATGGGCACGGTGCACATGGAACACCTCTCGCTTCCTGAAGAGACCTCAATGCTCCTGGGATACTTACACATTACACCCCAGCTGCAAGCAAAGAGGGATGCTCATTCAGTGTATTTGTGTCGTCGGAAGAACGGGGACTCTCACGCACAATTTCCAGCTTCCAGCCTCCTAGACAAGGCTGCAGAACAAGCTCAACTGGAAACGCTGGCTGTTAGATAGGACCGCGTAGCGTGCTCAGGTATTAAAAGAGCAACTTTTGCTTCTTTGATAGGTGACTGATCACTGTTCAGCTCCGTCTAGGATCATGCACTTAGATCAACGTCCTCATAAAAAGCAAGGTCTTTGCTGTGACAAATCAAATTAAGATCATTTCCTGTTCTTAAAGTAGTACAGCACATTTTGAAGTGGAAAAATGGCCCACATGAAAGAAAAATTCTTGCAGTAGATAGTACTGAACAAGGAATAGTATCTACAAACACTGGAATTACAAAAGAAGTACTGCAGTCAACATAACAACTGATATGATCACAGTCTTATTAGTTTGATCAGCTCAGCTGGGGCGCACAGCATCCTGAAAAAATCCTGCATGTTTTTCCAACGACAAGAGCCACCTTAACACTAGCGATTAGCATTAAGCCTTCAGAAAAAAAAAAAAAGTCAGCAGTGGAAAACATTGCTGAACTTTGTCAGGTCTAAAGTGGATTTGTCAGGAGTATCCTCACTTAGGAATGAGTGTTATGCCAAACCTCATTGCTTAAACAAACTTATCAGCCACTGAAATGCAAGTTAGCACTGCAGCAAATCCTCACTCCTTGAGGCCTACAGGAAATCCAGACCCTATCAGTGGCTAGGCGTGTATGCAAGCATAATGTACATCTCTCAAGCGTAAAGGGGAGAAAGCAAAGCTTGGGCACGCAGCTAACTGCTTCCATGGAAATTGCTACCGTCTTCATTTTATTTCTTGCGGGAGCACGATAAGCTTCTTCCAATGAGAAAAGCTACCCACGCTTCTGCATTGCTTTATCACGTGAAGACTGCACATTCTCCGAATTGCACTTGCATTTGCGATCCTACATTTTGTAGGCCTTGCACTGATAATGCTCTGCCTTATGAGGGTGCGTGCTGACTGCCCGCGTCCCATTACGAGTGCCCACAAGAGGGGGAGCATTAACACGATACATCATCTTTGCAAGACAGCAAGATGGGTCCTCTCCTATTATTTTGTCCTCCTTTGCTCAGAAGCTCTTCAGATAAATACTACTACATTCTGAATCTATTCTGAATGCATAAATAACTGCCTTGCCCTACCATCTTATTTTATTAACTTAAAAAAAAAAATCCAGCTATTTATATTAAAAAGAGCATCTCAGCCAAAATACGTCAGTAGCTTGCGCACGTTTGCCTACATTTGGACAGAAGGACTTGACATGTGCTCTCAGTCATCTAAAGGTCCATATTTGATACCAAGTCTAATGCTTTAATATTAAAACATGATCTATTTGCATATCTACAATAACTGCAAGGGCAGCAGACAATTACTGGTTGGGACTATGGGAAAAATGTGGCTATTCACAGCATCAAAAAAATCAGTCAGCAAACCCCATGCTGATATAGTAAAGTCTTAAAAGTACAAAGGCAAGCAAGCATTTACACCTTGTTCCTGGTATCTACTGTATTGCAAAAACTACAGCACAAATGAGAATGCAGGTTCGCAAAGCTGTGCAGAGCAGCTACAAACTCCTGTAGCCTTTTGCATGATGTTTAACGAACAGTGAGAGAGAGAGGGGGAAAAAAATTCTAAGAAAAGATTTAAGGGTTAGAACGACATTTTAATTTAGAAACTTAAACTGAGTAGTTCTCCATTCTCAGAATCTAGTTTCTCATGATACTTAACCAGACTCAGGAACAACTTGACGTTGTGTGCCTGCCTAATAATGCCTACATACGTAAGAAAAATGTATACAATTTCAGTCTTAACCATTCATGATTTTTATTACAGTACATGGATTTTGCAAGCTATCAGACCCTGAAGTGGGGTCTTGCTGGAAACTCGGCTTTTCAACGCAGACAGCCCCCTTTCCTTCATCCTCTGCCAGTCATTTCAAAAGTAAACTTGGAATCAAATCAGCGTGCAAATGGCAAAAGATATATAAAACAGAATCAAGAGAGCATAGGGTTTGACGTATTAAGGGAGGGAACACCACCTTTTTAGGGGTCAGCAATATTAAAACAGCTCTAACGTGGACTACTTATAGACCAAAACAATCACACTTTACCTCTCTCAAGCACAAGGCCTGCCAGAAGTGAGACTGCAAGTTACTGCGGCTCTCCAAAGAGATTTTTATCCTTCCTTTAGGAAATCCAGGCAGATGACATTTCAGGACAGCATGAGTGGGAGCGATAAACTGCTGAGCTAACTGAGAAAGCAGGGCTTTATTTCAACATCCTACTGCCAAGATCAAGCACGCAACTGGAAATGTTACCGAAACGCCTTAAATTCGCTATCAGTAAAAGGCAAGGCAAGTGATGCCTTACTGTGAGTTGCATAAAAAAGCATTGTTTAATTAATATAGGCTAAAAACAAACAAAAAAGATGCTGGATTCATCCAGCATAATAATTCGAAATTTTGCAGAGAAGCCTGCAGCAGACATGACCCTCACCACCTCCAGCAGCAAGGCTTGTGCTACCCTACCTCAGGAGAAGCAGAGTCCCTGCAGCGGTGCATTTTAGACCCACTACTGCATTGACTCTCACCTCTTCAAGGCCACTGAAATAACGGAAGCTATTCATACCCTGCAATAAACCACTGATTAAAAAAAAAAAATAGTAATAACAGCAATAAAAAAAAATTCCCTGCCGCCTCCTTGCAGCCCAGATTCAGCTGGGCACCTCTCCAATTTCTCTGCTGACACAGCTAACCATCTCCACCCACTCGCATCCGAGCAGCCCAAAACTTTAGCGGAGAATTAAAAGACAAAATTAAAAGACAAAAATCCCCTATAGCTCCCAGGAGGGGCAAGCTGCATTTTGTTATTACCATAAACAACTCGCACTAATGACTCAGGCTGCTTACGAAAAAACACATAATGGAAGCCAGTTTCAATGTACCTGATTCTTAAAGGGCTTGGTTGGAATCCCCGGTTATTCTAATTATTTTTTGCTTTTGAGATAATAAAAACAGTTTTCAAGGCCAGCAGAGCAGGTACACACAGCAAGAACTCATAGTTCCCTCAGAGTCACGGACTACTCAAAAATATTAATTTATTTACAGCTCACCAGCTGCCATACGGTATCTGATGAAAATCCTAAAGAGTCATTTAAAAAGTAGATGTACCCTTTTCTTTAAGGAATGCCCACACTTCAGCGCAGACTCACACCTGGAATTTTCACTGCTCTTTTCTATCCGTTCCCTTTCCTTTCGCTTGAGCAAGTTTATTCAGCGTCTTTCTCAGATTGCTGTGGGCTGCCGGATGATCAAAAGGCTTGCCCTGCGGTCAAAAGCGTCACTGCCACGATGCAGACCTACTGCACAGCTCTCGCTGTGGGAGAAAATGTCAACGATGCACGGGTTTGCAAGTTGCAAGTTATGTTTGGGAGGGAACATCAGTAATTCGTTACTGCAGATAATGTGTATTTATTGAAAAGGAACGCTCCAAACCTGCATGTTACAGCTTACCCTGTTGCAGGCGCAGTGGCTTCTCTGAATTACTCCTTCAGGCAACATTAAGAGCATTTAAGTTTCAGCTCCTCAGCTACGCAAACAAGGCAATAGGATGTTATGACTAGAGAAGCACATTACATGTGTTAATTTATGGTATCACCCTCCTCATCACTTCATATCTTGGGGATGTGGCAGGCAGTAAGTGATAGGTCCCAAGAGAATTGGCACATTGAAACTGTGCTACAAGGAACGCTTCCCTGAAGCGAAGCTAGCTTACTAAAACTCGGCGGAGCACTTCAAAACTCGCTCTCCAGGAACAATTAATTTTGTTATTCGCTGCTCCACTGTAGGGTGCGCGTTTCCTCTAAAAGGTGAGCTACGGCGCTTTGCTGCTGTCGCCGAGCTATCAGGCCTTGTTCTGAAATCACTGGGGAAATACGTTCAGTTGTAAAAGATTAGATGGAACAATCAAAGGGAAAGCAGCATATGTCATAGAAAGTAATTGCCTCATTTTTTCAATCAATAAAAAGCAGGGGGGAAAAAAAAGTTTTGCTTTGGTAACTACAGTAAGCTGGATAAATCTTTAGCATTCGACTCTTGTTCGGCCACGACTGCTTAGGAGCTCCCCAAAATAGTTATTTCACGACGCCAAAGATCCTCAAGCGCTTAGTAATCTGCAGTCCAACAAATACATTCAAATACAATCTCTGGCCAGTTTAATGTTCCTCTGCAATATGAAATATGGCCATTTCTGCAAACTTGCAGCAATGCAACACTAAAATACTTCTGAATGGAGAGAAACTAAACTTCTTGATAACTACAGTAAGATCCAGGGTTTCCTGGTATTAACAACCAAAGCAGATGCGGCGCTAGCATCAACAACGCTAGTGCTTTTTCACCATACCTTTGCCAATGTGCCTTAAGCCTGACTCTAATTCCTATGGAAATGCACAATTTCGCAAAAGAAGTATGCTTTTGGTTCATGCAACAACGCTTTTTCTTTTCTTTTTTTTTTTTTTGTTTCATAATTTCTCATCCAGTTCATCCCTTCTTTGTTTTAAGCACTGCCCTGTAAAAGCCCAATTAAGACCACAGAAATCTGTGTTTTGTGCACAAAAACACCTTGTGGAACAGGAATGAAGCAGCTTCAGAAAAGAAGAAAAATAGAGGAGCTCACCACTGGACTGGCCCGAGCAGAGCTGGCTCTTGAAGACGCCCGAGATCCTGAACCAAGGTAGCAGCTGTACTCTGAAGGCTGCATTAACGAAGAATAGCAAGCAGAGAGAAGAGAAAAGAATTAGAAACAGACAGGGAAGCAACAGAGGGATGGGAGCATTACATTTGAAGTTAGTTACAAAAAGGGTTACATGCAACCGGACAAAGGAAGAGCAGTTACAAGTCAGAGAACAGTTATTTTTAATATTAATTTACAAATTAAGGCAAGCAGTAATCCCAGCGGATGGACCAAGCAAACTTTTGATACCGTTCTTAGAATGGCAGAACAGACAGATTAATGTTTTATTTAAATATCTTAAGATACCAGTCACAACCAAGGAACCTTCATCGCTATACAAATGGCTCAATCCCACGACTCATCAAGAGCTTTGATGTTCTCCAGTGAGTCTCCTTCCTGCTTTTTCCAACATTGCGCACATACCAAATGAATCCATGTTCCATAGGCCAAAGCAAGAAACAGCCAAGATAAGTGTTTATCTATGTGGTGATTAAAGTAAAAACTGGAACCATCTCAGAGACTTAATATCCCTCCTGCTTTTCCAGCACCTGCTGCCCTCCTCTCCTGCCAAAGAAAGAATTAGTCCTTAAAAGCAAATATCCAACTGGTGACACAGAACAAACCGGGCTGACTTGTTGCTTACAAAAAACGTGTCTCTACTGCTTATTTCCACAGGTTATAACGTAGTTAAACGAAAATGAAAAGCTTTAACCGTCAGGGAAACGGAACTAAAACCTTTTCTGGATATGAATTTTAGAATAATTCCCTCTATTTTCCTACAGATTTCAGAATGGCAGCTCACTGTTGTACTTCAACGCATTTTACAGAAAAATATGTAAACATATATACGAAAGGGAGTTTTTTTCAATACGTTCAGAATACACACAGCTTAAAAGTCATCTGATGTTTACCGGGACGTTATTTTTTCCTATTACTACCACTGCAAGGAAACTGTGAAAGTAACCTTCGTAAAGAGGCTAATCTGACTGTCATGTTCATTTTGTTCTTTGCTGGTGCAAAAAAAGGAGGCTACCATCTTTCTGATTTAATGAATCTAGAAACTAATCCCTGCCTACTTGTTGAGATACGTATTTCAGAAAACTGTGACAAAGCTGCTAACAGCTTCTGGCAGAAACTTGCACCCTTCTTGGGTAGCAGTGATCAGGGTTTTGAGAACCACCAAACTGTGTGTGTGTTTGTTTTCCTTCCCATTTTTAAAACCAGCTCCGTCAGTTCTCTATGTCAAATGACCTTTCTAGAAGAGGGGAGGGAACAAGAGGCCAGGAGACGGCCTGATGGTATGAAAATTTAAGTTTACAGTACAAATAAATGGTAGCAGTGGGAAATAACGACAGCTACAATACAACCATAAGCTTAGTTTCTAACTCTGAAGCATTGCACTCGAGGCACACAGCACTTAGCCACCAAAACAGGACAGAATCACTACCAAGCCATATCTCTGGATGTCGTACAGAAAGTGGCATTGGCTTCATGCATCTGGACTACAGCGTTTCATTTCACAGGCAAAAATAAGCAAAAGTTAGAACTGTGTTCCATAAAGTTTACAACTATTTTCAATCACAGCCACTTCAGTTCCTAAATAACAATAATAAAAAAAAAATCTGAAGTAAATATTTAGGCTTTTCTCGTTATGCAGTCCAGGCACAGGAGCCTTGAGCCATCATTGATGCTTTGTGTTTAACATAAAAAGGATGAAGAATAAACTTGAAATTTTTAATAGGGAAAAAGCATTAACTACCGAGTAGTCCAATACTCATGTTTCCCGGTACCTCTTTATTCCATAGTTGCTTCATGCATATTGCAAGGCACAATATTGAAGTAAGGGCCATTCGGTCAGTCAGTTGAGACCAAGCAAGGCCAATCTCAGTCTCATCCTCTGCAGTCACTTGTCAGCTATCCTCCAAAACCATCCTGTGCTGACATCTACCCAAATGGTGCATCTTCCAAATGTGAAAAGGGCTACAAGCTTAAGAGATGGTAAAATAACCCCAGTCAATGCAGTAGTTGTGACCAGGCCATTCCCTTTGGGGCAAAAACCTCGTATTTCAACTATCTTTTTGCTACAGACGACCAAGCAACGCCAACGGGAAAGGCTGAGCTACCTACAAGCTGTCAAATATCCGCAGCACAGCGGTGGCGGGAGCAAGGGGGAACAAGCACTAACATTTATTCGATGCTCTCTGTTCAAGCCATTAGCAGGGGCTGCACGAGACTGAATAGCTCTCGGGCTCGGAGCCCAGCGGAAATTATTTCTCCCAACACTACAATTGTATCATCAGGACCTTTCTGATACTTATCTAAAACAGAGAAGGACAGCCCATGCAAACAAGGGACTACAACCAGCTCCGCACAGCGCAAGCAGCAAGCCTGCTGAATCGCGGGCTGCCGACACAGTCCTAGCTGGTCATTAATGAAAACAAGGCAAGATTGTGAAACCACAAGTGATTTGAAACACAAGATCAGTAGCAGAAAGAGGCACAGCACAATTAATGAACCAGTTTAATTGCAACAGGATGGCATAGCCTTTTACAGACTAGCAAGAGCAGCAGCTTAGTAAGCATTCATGAAAGTTTCTTTCTTCAAGTTAATAGATTTATAACTTTTAAGGTTAAGTTAGCAATGATGCTTTGCCTGGAATGGTTTTGGTGTTGTTCTTCAGGTTTTGGTATTTGGCTTTTTTTAGATAACCAGAGAAGAGTTCAGAGACAGAACAAGCAGTACTCCCTTAGAGTAGAATTAAAAAAGAAAAGGTTTTTGTCTATGTTTTCAGGCAGATACTGCCAGGCCAAATTGCCCAATTGCACTGTTTGAGAGGAGGCAGAGCTGTGTTCTGTCTCCTATTCTGTAAAATGATTTCTTTCTTTCTTTCTTTCTTTTTAATTAAAGGAATCAATATAAATTAATAGCCTAAACCTGTCATTCCTGATCAGGGACAAACTCAAAGTTGTTCTTGCTCCTCTCTCCCCTGGAACATCACTACTGAATACAAACCCAAGAAACAAAACCAAGCAAACCACAAGTTGACAAAAATTTCATCCTTCATGCTCTAAATGCTAACGTGATAACACTGGGAAGGTGATTTCCTAAAACCACGTTAAACTCGGTTTTCAAAAAGAGAATCGACTCCCAGCGAGGGAAAGGATTTTACGTAGTGTCTTTCCTATTCTTTCCTATTGAATCTTACGTGATCCTTTCTTAACGTTCCTCGGTCCGAGGAGGACTGTGTTCTGGTAGAAACGGGTTACCGGAGGACAGAGACAAGACAACAGGGAAATACAGAAAACATCTTACAGCACGAGAACTAGAGGCACTACACCGACGACTCCCGCTGTAAACGCTCTCGTCATACACAGACGCCTACAATTGAAAGACAGAGTCAGAACAGGACTGGCAGACCTAGTTCCTGGTTTCAGGCTGGGGCATTACAAAGTCGCAAGGTGCAGCGCGAAGGATGGACAGGAACGAGCAGTCTATACGAGTACAGGGACATCTCCTGTAAACAACCACAAGCCGCATGCAAGTGAAGAACCAACACAACCGCAGTCCAGTGAGCTGGCAAACTCCACGAGGCATGTGCAAAATCCAAATTGCACCCCTCCCCGCCCCCATGACCGCCACTCAAATCCCTCACACAGGCATGCATTTCTAACAGTTCTTCCAATGTGCAGTTCAACATTTTGCGTTACCTATGAACTAAGTGGCTACATCAACTCTTAAACTGTTCACATCTGTTTAGCTTTTACTTTTAGTCCTGGCAAAAGATGGGAGACACATATTCTGATGAGTTTTGCTTGAAAGCCCCTTTTGCCAAATTATTGTGACAGGAGGGGGATGCATATTCTAAGGCATCCATCTAGCTCCAGTTCAGCATATAAATATTCCCCACCATCGGCCCTGGAAGCACAGGGAGTAGGAAACTCTGCCTTAGGTGCTTGAGAATAAAATCTGCCACAAGCTCATTTTAGAGTTTAAAAAACAGGAACAGTGAAATCTGGCCACTAAACTTCAACAGATTTCTGTTGTTACACAACCAGCAAGAACTGATGTTGCCTCTCTCCGGCTGCTCTTGCATGTTCTGGATAACGCACCAAAAAATGAAGGCACTTGTCTCCATCCAGACAGGTGCCTGCAGTAGCATCACAACTCCACGAGCAGCACTTGCACGATCCCAGCGGGAATAAAAGGACCGACCAGCAAATCTGAGCATTGCACACGTGCATTCAAACGGATCAGGCACCAAGGGGGACACCACAGTGAGCAAGACATGGGTCCAACAGGAACCACGGGGGTGAGGCACGGCCGAAAGTGAGCAGCTTCTGTATTTGTGGTTAGTGCGTTAGGATGACAAACCCTGTAACTTCTGGCTGGCAGGGCATCACTGTACAGCAAGGAGGGCTGAGGAAGACAAGCACAAAACCTTTTCGTATGAAGGGGGAGAGGGGGAAAGAAAAAAGAAACACAACAAAAGGTGCCTGCAGCAGAATTAACCATCTTGGTAAGGACTTATTAGGATCATTAAGCTACAAGAGAAGGAAACGCAGTACAGACAATATTAGTCGTCTGTGCCATAAAAGCATTAGATCTCAACTCCCACAGGCCGAGAATAGAAAGCAGACACCTGCGTATTTCCTACAGGAAGGGAGGACACCACAGTATGCAGAAGCAAAACAACATAATTTAATTTTAGGTTGTTAATGCTGTTGTTGTCTCAAACACATTCGTGTGTAGCAAGCAGCCAAAGGGAGTGTTTCTCCTCACTTCAACCAAAGCCAGGAAGAAAGCTATATGACTTCGCAACCCAGAGACAAGAAACGTTTTTAGGTATTTTTTAAGTATTCCACATAGCTATAGGATCGTATCTTGTGTATTTTATTAGTATGCAATAAAATTATAGAGGAAAAAATCAAACTATTCACGACAAAATTATGAACGTTAAGTCAGAGCATCATAAGCCAAATGAATTTGTCATTAGTAATCGTTATTCACAAGATGCAGCAACCGAGTTCAGAGAGCACATACAGAAAAACCTCCCTCTGGCACAGTGAGGTGCAATAGGTGCACGCTCCAACAGTGGTCCCCAGCTCGCAGCCCGAGGGCGAGGCGTCACTGCGAGCAAGCCCGCTCGGCACCCGCAGCGCTCCCCGTCGCAGGCGGGTGCCAAAGCACCACGCCTAACGCCCTAACGCCCTCGTGCTGCTGCCAGCAGGCAGAGAAGGCTGCGGACCACTGCTCTAGCCGGACTTTGCTGAGCTCTGCGCACATGCAGAGGACAAGCCAACCTCCCGCACTGCTGGCAAGCTGTAGGACTTTTCTTCTAGCAGGGCATGAATTACTTGCTTGCGATACCATTTTGTGCAGGCTGAACTGCCTCAACCTTGCTAGATTGACAAAGTCATCGCAGGTAGAATGAAGAACTTTGGTTAATTAGGTTTTTGCACATTTTCCCAGACCAATTTAGGTCAAGAGCAAACAAAGTAAGCGTAGGAAAGGGAGGAGCAGCAAAGGAAAACTATTTACGCCCATTTTAAAACAGCTTTCCACTACTCACTCCAACCATTAACAAAAAGGTGGGTTTTTTAAGTTCAACTATAGAGCTACAGACACTCTTGACAATTGGTCCAAATTATTCATTCCTAAAACTCAGGAGGTTGTATTATCCAAATGAAGGCAGAGCAAGAAGTCCAGACCAGGTAAAACCAGAGGGCAACAGACCCAATTTCCATTCTGGGAAGAAGGCTGAGATGTGGAAGCATAGGCGCTGCTGTGAAGACCAAGATCAGAGTAGTATGAAGCCTGCATTAATAACAAAGAGAAAAACAAAAAACAACCTTGAGAACTCAACTTAGTAACATGAAGGAGTTTCTTTCTTCATTTAAACAGAAAGCAAAAAGTAAATTAGGTGTTTACAAACAGCACGAAAACAAGGTGATCATAGATGAAAAAAGGAGATAACATACAACTGCATTAAGGAAACTAGCATAAAGATATGATAACGCGTGAAAATTGTGTGCCCTCTCCCTTTGTGAAATAGAGGCTTTTTAAACAAGTGAAAGGCCTTTCCCTTACACTTATAGCATCCTATACACAAAACACCTGTTTGGTTTGTTTTCCAATGAAAGGGCCTCAAGCCTCCAAGACCTCTCCTCCCCTCTCACTGTTATAACCCAATGAGAACATACGCTATGACGACACTTTTTGTAGTGGACTTAGAAGATGATGGACCTCACATATATGGCTTACACACCTAAGTTTCATCCCAGCTCTAGTGATGGGAGGTTGTATTTATCAACAGACTCCCAAGCTTATGTAAAAAGGTACTGATAGCGTCTGTTTTACAAGACACTGAAAATGTTTATCTTCCAGGCTCAAGTTCAGAATAAGCAGACATGCCACAGCTTCATACCTAGTGCAGCAGCTTCCTGCCTCATGGGATTTATTTCTTGACCTGTGCAGTCCCATCAGTGCAGGCAGCACATTGGCTCCCTGTTGCCAGGGCCCATCAAGCACAGAAAACCTACTGCTCAGAAAGGAGGTTGGCTTCCACATCTCACTTGAATTTTGTACTCGGACATCCAATAGTCTTTGGCACCCAATCTCCCTCTCTTGAATGTGGGAAGAACGTTTAAGACTCCATGTTAAACCAGTCAGGTGTGCTGCTGATATCCACACCTCGAAGTCTTACTACTTGGAGAGAAAGGCAACGTGCAGGAACGTGCCAATGAGCGTTGCAGCTCCACAGCTAGAGGATACATTCACAGGGCATTTGAACAACAGTTGCCAAGTGTATAGACACCCATTCCTCCCCACCTCCCATCTGACCACACTCTCCCCTAAATAGCTCTACAGTTCCAATAATTTATTTCCAGGGGAAAGAGGAAAGTAAACTTGGAGGCACCAGTCTGGATGCAACGCCATATGTTCCAGTGATAAGTGGTATTTTTTCTGTTTGCAAAAGATTTTGCTAGAGAAGGAAAGACAAAGTGCTTCTTTACCCAGAGCTGCTTTAGCTATACCTCCAAATGGCTCAAAGGGAGAGAGTGCAAATACTGCCTTCAATTGTATTTTATAAAAAAGTGTCTTACAGTAGCTTGTTACCTGATTCTGTATTCTTACTTGAATCCATAAAGTGTTTTTACATCCGTATTGTCCCTTAAACACTTTCTACAGTGTTGTGAATGCAAGAGCATGATCAGAAATATTGTGCATAGCGTTCCTTTAAGATTTTTTACCTTTCTTGTGAGAGCCTCCCCAAGGAAGTCGGTTCACGTCAAAACAGCCCATCTGCACACAGGGGTTCATTCTTTTGTCCATGGGCTCCTTCAAGATGAGGGCTCTAGCACAGACCTGCCTTCTTTACTAACAGAGAGCAGCACATGTAGCCCAGAAAGGCTAGTGAAGGCAGGGTTTGTTAGGCAAAGCGTGGAGCAGTTTGGCCATGTAAAATAAGCCCTTCATTCCCAGTACTGTCAAAATTGTGATTGCTTAAAAGTGTTGTGTGGCTCATAGCTGTGAGGACTTTTGGTGTTGAGCAGTTTCACTTCATTAGACTTTTCTAAAAGACACGAGACATTCTGGATAGTGATCAAGGAAGATGGCAGTACCTCACAGAGAGCTTTTCACAATTCTTTCTCCATCAACTCAGATGTGGGAACCATGTTTTATCTTTCTCTGTCTTTTCCTCTACTTCCTCCTGGAGAAATTACAATTCTTAGCCTTAGGAAGAATCCCAGGATAAGGAGCATATCGTACCACCAATTGCTTACTCTCTCTCTGGGTTTCAAACACTTTGATCTTTGTACCTCGGAGAGAATCCCAGTCATGTTGGCCAGAAAAAAAAAAAAAACCTAGCCATAGCTGTCACCCTCATGAACCAAATAAGAAGTTTTCAGAACTCAAGCTCGTCTCGTTCCCTACTGCCACAAATTCTTTATGCTCTACAAGCTCGAACCGTAACCCAGGCTTGCAAAGGGTGTTAGAAGGAGGTGCCAATTGGGCTGCGAGAGAGACAGAGAACACCACCAGGCACCACAGCTGTTTGGCTGCTGCTCAGGAAACGAGAATAGGCCACTGCCAGCTATGGTACGACTAAGTGCAAAGAAAAATTCTATGTACGAAACCAGCATGCATAAATTAAACATCTCTCTTACGTAGAGTCATGCCTAGTATTTAGCCAACGTTTGCCAAGCTTCCACTTCTGGTCCACCCATTAAGAAAGGGGAGAACTTAATTCAACTCCAAGTTAGATACCAGAAGTACCACAAGAGACTATTTAACAACTCTAGTAGACTTAAAACCACTCTTACCTTCTGAAATACTATATTATTTAATCTACTTTTATAGATAACATCTCCATTCATTCCCCTTGGCACCTGGGCTGGAGCATAGGATGCCAGCTCAGATTTTCTGCTGTACCATGTTATCTCTGTGAATTTCTGCTTCGCAAGCACTTCAACACAAAGCCAGCAAATACAGCTGAGCAGAGCGCAGGCAATCTGAAAGCAGTAGGATATTTATAATAATGAATGGAGCTCAGCATTACGGCTTCCCAAAAGCTTTAGGAAGAGCACCTGCAGGTATATTACATGTCTCAGTAGAACATGCAACAATATCCTGGGAGGGACTGTTCTGTTAAATGGCTGTTTTTAACATGCATGAGTATTTAAATTGAAAAGTGAGCTGTTTTCAGTGTAGACCGAAAATCCATATTCCAAGAAATTATGCATCTCACAAAGCCAAAAGGAATCATGAAAATACGAAAACTGCCTAGTATGTCTGAACTGTGAGCGCTGCAGCAACTAGCAGAAACCGGACACAAATTCCATTAATTCCCCAAAGTTCACGAGGCCGCTTCTAAAAGGCGAGAAAATAGTTGCTCTGCCTAGTCAGGGCCAGATACAGCTGTACCAAGCCGCGCCACGACCGTGTGCGTAGGAGCGAGCACGTCCTGCGGCAGCTGGCGTGATGGGGCAAGGGAGGAAACGTCACCTCCTCGCATCCCCACTCTCCTGAAACAATTTCTGTGCTCTATCTTCTGCCATAATACAGGGGTCACAGAGATACGCAAGGCTTCCCAGGCTTCCCATTTAATCTCTTTGCCAGCGCATGCGCGTGCAGGAACGGCCTTTCTCAAAGAGCTCCACTTGTCTCCTTTCTTCCCTACTCGGCACTTACTCAGCTTCCTTGCAAGCCCTAACGAATCCTTGCACCATCACTGTAAGTTAGGTAGGTGTTAACTCCATTTGCAAACGAGGCAACTGTGGCACATTAAAGAAACTCGTTTGTTCTTGGCACTAGGCATCTGCCACTACAGGCAAGCAGATTTGTGGATAAAACACAACACCCATAGGTATATACAAACACAGGATAAATCTGGTCCAACCTGAAAAAAATCCAGGTCCCTTTCCACCTTTTTAAACAGGCATTCAGGAAAAATAAAGATTTTCACTGAAAACCTCTGGATACACTGAATTGAGCTTAAAGAAACTACTTTCATTCCCACCCAGAGAGCTCATAATCAGCACATGGATTACCTAGGCACACGGCATTACTCATTTCTAAGGCATCAATACCCTGTGATAGCGAGGGTCTGTTGTGCAAAGGCAGATGACCACACACATCACTCCGTTTTGCAACTTAGAAACGGGCACCTATTTGAGAAACAATTCCAGGATTGGCAGACTCATCACACCCTCAAGTGAAAAATTCTGCTTCTTCTCAGCTTTTCATTGCCACTGTGGCAATCTTTACTCCTCCAAAGCCCCTGAACCTAACTGCGTTGCTAAAGGTGAACGTCAGCCAGACTGGCATCGACTAGTTTTGGAGATGGAGATCATTATGCTCCTACAGAGAGTCCAACTGCTCTAAGTCACCCCAAATCCTCACCCCTCTTCTAAATGATGATTAATCTGAATAACACTTAGGAACAAAAACATCAAGGAACTAATGATATTGCCATAATTATGCTCTCAATACGCTAAACCTCCATGCTGCAAACCCTAATGCTGAGATGATTTTAAGTTACTTAAATGGCAACCAAGCAGCTTCTCCTCATCGGATAACTTCTTCACTGATATTTTGCTCTTCCTGCTGTACTCAGCGCTCCGCAATATGTCACGGAAGAATTACAACGTGGTTTGCCAGAAGCACTACATAATCGAGTTCCTTGAACTTGTCAAACAGCTCAGTAAGACTGCCAATAACAGGACATAGCGTTTTCTTAAGAGCTTAAGCAAGACTATTTCATTTTCTCTTCACTTACATAAGCTAAACGCATAAACTCATGTGGAAGCAACAATTTTAAATGGACATAAAATATAAGGCCCCATTTCGTTATTTATACAAGCGTCTGTTTAGCTTCATGCTGATACAGTAACTCCACTGAAGTCTATCTTATGCGTAATATGTAGTGATCAAACACTTAGCTAAATGGAATCTTGAAACAGTTTGTTTTTCCTCCTAAACACAGAGCTTTAGTCTGCATACCATTAAATTTCTTTAGACGCCCTGGTAGCATGAAGATCAACAAGCTCCAAGCTTTTTGTCTGCGTTTGTACAGATTAAGGCAAGAGGGGAGAGGGGGGGGAAAAAAAAAAGAGAGAGACGAAAAACTCCACAAAACAGAATAGGCTATGCCTGAAAAAAAAAAAAAAACACTTAAAATAACCCGCACAAACCCCAATATTTAACGAAGCAGGACAATTCCTGTTGATGCATGAACTGAAGAACACTTGTGCTGGAACAGAAGAGAAGGGAATATTGTGACCCACGCGCACCCATCAGGGAGTTAATAATGAAGCTCTTTGACATATATTTCTAGAAATAAAGTAAATCAATGGTAATATCACACAGCGTAGTGGTAACACTTTCATGGGCTGTTCAGCTTTGGGGGAATTTTCAGCAACTCCAGGATACAGTTCATAAAGGAAAGATATTTATGCAAACTTCAAACATGCAAAACACATTTGGGGAAAATTCAAAAGCCGAAGACCACTCTACACGTGCAGATCCGAAGACATGGTCTAAATTATGTGTGAGGACCGGGGGTTTCAGTGTTTGAATATTTGAATAAGTGTTGCGCAGACTAGAAAGCAATCACTGCGATACCTGGAACACACGGAAATCCCCCAAGCTAGCTTCCATCAAGGTATTTCTCTTCGCAATTTAACTTTTATCGAATTTTGATAACAGGGTTACGGGATTCTGCCTTCCACGTCCTATTTGTATCAAATTCACAGACTTCCTTTCCCCATTCAGGGCTTTTTTTTTTAATTATTATTTTTTAATAGCTTATTGCTGCATCTCTGTGTTTGACAAACTGCAAGGTCCACAACGTGCACGACAGGAAAAGCCTGCTTTACCATAGAAAAGAATTTGCTAATTAGCTTTAGAGTAATAATTCTTATATGAATATAAATCATCTACTAACCCTGCTAGATTTTCTACTCTGGGATGATCCATATGCGTCTTCCTCATAACCATTGGTCTGTTATGGAAGGAAAGGAAAAAGAAAAAAAAAAGAAAAAGAGAGAGAGAGAAAAAAAACTGAAGCAAATCCAAAAGAGCATTGTAGTAAGAGTTATCATTCACGAAAAGCAAAGACAGAGATGACACTTTTCTAACATACACCAGAAATAGAAGTGCAGGATTAGGTCCTAATTTCAAACAGACCATAGGAAAACCTCGAGAATATGAACATTTTTGTGTCTATCTCTACCCGTAAACTGGCCAAAAATGTCAAGGATACTCTTGCTTGCAAAGAACTTAATTCTTTTTTTTTCCCTTAAGAAATTCAGTTTAATAAACATGCAACGCTATATGAAACCTCTTCTATTTGGCTTTCCCCAACTAAATCTAGAACAGTGACCATCTGCGAATCCAAGTATTTTGTGTGGCAATCCAAAGATTAATAAGAGATTTTAATCTGTTCAGCTGTCTGCTATCATATCCAATAGTGTCACAAATATGTGTTCTCTGAAAGAGAAAAAGGACATTCAGAGTCAGCAATTCATAAGCAGGGGGAGATACTTCAGTGCCCTAAGGCAGAAGGGTTAGGAATAAAATTAAAAATCACTATGATGCAGAATGTTTTCAGTCTGGAAACAAAACATTTCAAGATGAGATGACAGACCCCAAAATCAGATGATTTTGATACCACTGATATTGATACCACTAAAAGCTCAGATTTCTCAATCAGTTCACCATATTAGCATCACTACGTGATAAGGTTTGCTTTAACACAAAGAACAAGGAAGCCCTCCCATGTGTTTGGGGGTGGAAATTTTTTATTAAATTTTTTAAATTTAAATTTTAAAGTCTAAATTTTAATGCATTCCTGAAATGAAATCCCACTAAATTCAACCTGAATCTTTTTCAAGCAAAAATATACACTATACGTGGCTTACATGACAGATTTAAACAAATTAACTCATCAACCCCTTATAATCCAAGCTGGCAAAAATCACTTCAAAAAAAAAAAAAAAAAAAAGGATGAGATTTCCTTGTGAAATTCAACTTTGGCATCAAAGATGGAAAGCCAACATCCAGTTTATCTTTCCAAGAAGAAATGATCTGAACTGCCACCAGCCTTTTCTCACAGGTTATGCTCTTTCTAATTTTTACTGCTTTTTTTCTGGTCCCTCCAATTTCTCTAACGCTTTGCTCAAAACTGGTTAGAATGATTCTTCAGGAGCTGAAAACACCCCAGCTACAGCCTCAACAGCTCCCTGTAAACCTGTTACTTCTTTTGTTGCTACTCTGAAGAATTAGGTTTGCCTGTTTTCAACAATGTTACATGACTAAGTGAAGCCTCAAATCTCTTCCTGAATTACTCCTATGCAGAACTCCTTATTTTTGTATTAGCATATTTAAATTTTTCCCCTTTCTTAAAAGGCAGTAGTCCTGATTTGTTTTCATTGTGGCTCAGCTTTGGCAAACTGCCTCCTATTCATCATCAGTGTTTTTATTCTAACCTCGCGTGAAACCTCCTTTGCTCCATATAGTCAGACAACCAGCAATATCGACTCCGGTTGAACCGGTTTCTCCTTTCAAAACAGATGATGCTGTCTGAGATGGGAATAGAACAGTCGAGAGCCTTTCCAGCTGTTTCTTATTCTAACAGAGTTATTTTTCAACTAATTGTGCATTTATTTTACAAGGACTTGATCTTGGCCAAGGTTTCATAAAAGAATGTCTTATGGAAACACACCAAAAGCCTTGTAGTCAAGTTACATTCACATCTCATGTTTTTCTTTTATGCTCTTAAAGAATTACCTTGCTTAGCTAGGGCAATTAAGTTGAGATGACATGATTCATTTTCCACAAATTCAGGTTAACTGTTTCTCATTGTATCTTTGAGGCACTTCTAAACACATTTGTTTAGTTTACCCTAGCATCTTTTAGACTTCAAGCTCCATAGTCCAGACCACTTCTCCTGTCACTATGATTACTGCCTGCCCATCTCTAGGGACCTCTCCAGCTCACATTCTCAAAAGCGAACACCCCAGACATAGCGTTTCAGACGATTCCTTAAGTTCTGTAGGGTGAGTTTTATCAGATCTTGCTGACCTTTGTTCTGTGCTACATTAAAATGTCAATCAGATGTTCATAATCTTTATGAAAATGGAAGCAAACAAGATGGCGTACTGGGCAGGTTGAAATATTCAGATTTTACTTGTTCTCTCTTCATAGCGATGTAATTGACCCTATTCTTTTCTATGTTTTCCTCTTGCTTCTAAAGGATGCGGAAAGCCTCACTGCCACTAGGCCCGTTTACGCTTGTAACCCTTTGTGCCTTGGACTGATTTCATCCCTGAAAGCTAATGCTACTCCTTCACACTTGTTCTCAACCACGCTTCTGATTTCTGCTCCTCAGAAAGTTCTTTACTAATTCCCAGTTTACCAACCCAGGCATGGCAACCACCTCTCGGGGCGATTTGTACCCTTCCCTCCCTGCAGCAACAGCCCACCACTCTGCCTGCCCTATGTGCTCCTTCACTCGCTGCAATTGCTTCCCGGGAGACTTCAGCTGAAGTTCCCAAGGTATTAAAGCCTTAATCTTCACCTTCCATTCAGGTCCAGCTTTCCCATGTGCTAAGTGGTGCCCTATTGATACAGGTACTAGTAAAGCACTGGTATTATCCAGAACTACCTTTAGACTTCCTGATAAACACTAACGTGCACCATTACCTTAGTCTCCTTTGGAAATACAGAATTCTTTAGCATTTTATAAACTCAACATATGGCACCCCCTTGGATGGGAGCATTGCCCTTTGCAACATGCCATGCATTGCTCTGAACAGTTAACTCAGCATCCCAACCTGAAAGTAATCCCAAGCTGTTTCCTACACAAGATGCTGCTGATGTTGAGACAAGACATCTAAGCAGCTCCCTCTACCCTTGAGCTTCTTTTTCCTCCCTGTTTAAAACCTCAGCATTCTTAGTCAGAAGTAACATGCTTTAAAAAAAATGCATTGTTAAATTACTTGCTACTCAAATGCTGTTATAAATCAGTGCTAACCTATTCCTTTGATATATGTAAAACAGTACTACTCCCTACATGAAAAAAATGCAGCCTTTACTATATACATGCCATCACTTTTTACCTATTTCTGTGTAATGCTAAAACTCAAGTTGAGTTTTGAGTTGTTCAAGATGCTCTTTGTCTACAACACTGACATGAGTGAGTGTTTGGACTATACTGCATTTTGCAAATGAAGGGATACTCAGTATTTTTACACACCCAAGAAGTCCAGAGAGTTACACTGTATCCTTGACATTAGGCTGGTTAGCCCTTACAGCCAATATACTTGCAAATATTCTCCAGTCCCATCACACTGGTTTTGCATGTAAAAACCTCTCTAAGGCAGACAGTCAAGATACATACTGCTTTGGAGTAGCTCTTCCTTTTGGTCCTCTCATTCTCTAATCCAGCCTGCAGTGAGATTAAGAATTTAGGATGAAAAAAGATCAACAAATTTACGTGCACCTATCTATAGGCAGGCATGCATATCAACATGCAAAAATATCAGCCCAGTACTTCTCCAGCTCTACAGAACATGGCTCAGTAGGCACACATGAAAAAAAAAATCAAAATGCATTAAATTCAAATGACCAGTTATTAAAGAATATTTCTAAAAGCGATGATAGCACTGTTACATTTAGTAGCTACAGTTAACCCAGCAAGCATGAATAATGTTAAGTCAATTAATAGAGCTACCAGCTGTCTATACTTACTACATCAATACAGCCATGCAAAATCCAAATGTGTTTGAACTATTTCTGTATATAGGTCACTCGCAAATAGATTCATTGCGTTCCTAATTTGAAATAGAGCAGGGAATGCAGAAGAGGGTGAGAAAAACTATAGTCCATAAAACTGCTCTCCACAGCTTGCTTTTCAACATACTGAGGAGGAAATAAAAGCCATTTCAATGAAGTACAACTGATAGCCTTTCAGTAGCTCCATAAATGAAGTAGAACCATATTTTGCCTTTTGCAAAAACAAAAAGACTTCTGTTTCGACACAGTGCTGTCACAAGAGAGCACTGTTAATAGTATGAGTAAGTTTTTGAAACTGAGCAATCTCCATTCCCCCTCCATGCCCTTTCTGATCTTCCAGGAGTCTTCTGACATACGCAATGAACATACTGTGTAGTCTTACTACTAGCTACAAAGTTTGATTTTATCTTTCAAAGTAAAGATAAAAGCTGAATACACAAGATGCATCTTTGGTAGGCAGTACGTTTGCCCTGTTATCTTTGCTAGATCTATTCAAAGTGAGTTTGTGAGGGGTTTATACCTTTTCAGATTCATGCTGAAATAGATGTAGACGTACCTGGTCAAAGGATGGACAAACTAATAGAGACAGGGAAATGCAAACTGCTCTGCTCTGCCCTATGATAACTACTGAATTAGACCTAGTTTAGATATCTCTAGTCACTCGGTGCTTTTCACATGAGCTGGATGCATGTGTCAGAGCAGTATGCGAGACCATCAAAGACCACAAAATACCGTCAGGACCATTTTAGATCATCCCTATCTTAGATCAGGTGTGACAATCAGTGTTAGTTTCTTCTTCACAATTAGTTTTTAAACACCCACTGCAACTTTCAGGCTATTCTCACCACTGGATAGGCACTGGCATATTCCAAGTTAGACTGTCAAGGCATGAGAGAAAAGAAAAATCAGAATACAAATCGGGATACAAAGGAAAACATGAAGGAAATGATGGGAAGCAGAGAGGAATAAAAAAAGGCATAGAGATGTAAATCCCACCTAAATAATTTTGATAATGCTGGATTTCTTGCACAAAGCCAGGAACTTTGGCTAGCAGAAAGGCCAAGGAAACAGCACAAACTATCACCAGTGAGTAATAACACAACAATATTTCATACTGGACGGTCTCAGATTAGAGAGCAGCCCACTGAAGGAGGAGAACAAAGAAGCTTGCCGTAAAAAAGGGACCGATGCTTGGTCACCTCACACACAGGATGATGTTTTTGAGCTTCCCTTCGCATGATGAAGAATCAAGCAAGCGGAACTTCCCAAATAAGAGAGGCAGGATGTTTTTGATAGTTTCAGAATGAGCCACAGAAAAGCTATTAAAGCTGCTCTGTCATTGTAACTGAAGCTGGGCCTGCAGGAGGCACAGATACTCTCAAGCTAACATACCAACTCCAAGGGCTGTTGCTTACAGTGTAGTCACAATTGGGGAGCTGAAACCAATTTGCCAACCTGGTCTAACCAACATCGCAGGTAGTTCTCTAGTCTATGTTGCTGTTTGCAGTGCCAGAAGTATCCAGGCTAGCTCTCCAAAAGCTAGCTCGGTACATCTCTGGTGCCTGGAGTTCACACACCCACTTAGAGAATAGTCCAGGAGAATATTCAGAAAAGAAACCAGGCAGATTAGTAGGGCTGGAAAGTTTCATGCAGAAATACGTTTCTGATAATGGCTGACTACATGAAAACTTCCTGCACAGAAAAGAAGCACAACTTCAAAAAGTAATTCCTAGTGTTATCAGCCCCTTAGCCTGCACTGAGTGCCAAAGACATAAGGTAAATTTTTAAACGCAGTTTACAATGGCACCCCACAACTACGGAAGTCGTTTTCAAATATCCCCCAAAGAGCATCATTCAGATTTCTCTGACTGCTTTTATAAAGCCTTCGTGGACACAAGACAATAGTTTCTGATGATTTCTTCGTGCTAAAGTAACTCAGAAGCTAAACAGTGAACTCTGAATCCCAGAGGTATAACCATTTTTGTTTAGCAGTAATTCTTTTTTTTTGTTTTGTTGTTTTAAATGCACACAGTAAGAGCCAAAGCCCCCACAATTAGTCAAGCATGGATGAAGTCAATCTATTAAAGCAAGCTACTATATATCTACACTATGAAAACAATCAATGCGTGTTCTACTACTTAACTGTGAGTAAAACAGCTAAAAGAAGGGTAAGTTTCAGTTCCGACTAGTGAGCTAGATATTTACTTTCTTCCTTTCTCCTACAATCCCAGTGACGCTTGGATCAGGGAAGGAAGTCTTCAGACACAGGAGGCTCAGTGAAAGCTCTCTTCCAGTGCATTCCCAGACTGCAGACATCTCACATGAGAGTATTCACAGACGCTATTTTATGAGGAGGAGGGTGGGGAGGGTCTGTGCAACATCACTAGAAAGACCAGGGTGTAAAGTTTCAACGAGATTGTTGTGTCAAAAAGGACATTCTTTGCAAAAATACTAGGTATTTGTGGGCTGTTCAACATAACAGTGCTGATTATCGCAGGCTGAAGGTATGTTCACAGCCCAGAGACTGACTGCTCCAGGAGGGAAGGCCAGAAAAGCTTCTTCTCAAGGGATGGCGAGGAATAGAGTGGAAGACTTCTGATGTTTAAAATAAAGCACAGCTTTTAATCACAAAAATACATCAAAAGGAATCAACAGTGGATTTCCATGAAGACAAGAAAGTCTTTCAGATGAACAGGCCCCCCACTATGAACACAGTGTCAACATACTTACACCTTACCACCTCAAAGGAAACACAATTACAGCCATGGTCAAACCACCAATTTGTGTGATAATCACCCACTAAATGTAGCAGACTGACATTTCAAGTGATATAGAGATTTTTTCCTTCAAAATGCTTTCAAAACACTACTTGATCTCCGGTCATCTTCAAAAGACTATCAGCGCATGCTGAGACAACAGCATTAAATGCTAACTAAACTGTTTAAACTGTCTTCACAATTACAAGAGCTGATTATATCTGTGCTAGAAGGGAGTTAAGATTAGTGCACATGTGTATTATCTGAACAAATGCTGTACAGATACTTTGAGAAAAAAACTGTTTGAAGTTTTTCTAGAGATTAGCAAGGGTGAGCTGTGTCACGCTGTGCTCTACTAATCCCTCCTCAAAACTCAAGTCTGCAGATGAGTTTCAAATATCTCTGTGCAGCTTTGAGGAAGGGGTTGACCTGTGTTCCCACAGTGCTCAAAGATTTGACTTTGCACTGACGATTTGCTTCTGTTTTCCTGAACTAATAAACATTGATCAGAGTGGCTAGGGCTTCCCCTTCCCAAAATCTCAATAATCAGACCAGGGAAGCTCACATGGTGCCCTACAAGAAATAGCCGTGTAGATCAAAGTCTGGCTAACTTCCTGCACGAATAACTGAGAATAGCCTTTACCAGAAAGGTATCTATGGAGTTGCATGCTCTGCTTGCGTTCTTCAATAGCATCCTCACACTTGACAATTCCTCTCGTTGAAAGAATTACTGGTCTAAACGTACTCAAGAAAAGCATAAGCCTTCAACATGGAAAACAAAGAACTTGGAGGGAAGACGTTATCAGAGCACTAAAAAAAGATGCTGAATAACCAAGCTGGTGGTACAGGAGGATAACAACTTCGTTAAACACACGTACACTTTAATTGCACAGTTTACTAACCCTCAGGCTTCCACGGCTACCCACAGACATGCGCTCATCTTCATCCGAAGCCTATCAAAAGAAAGTGTAAAGACAAGAAAACAATGAAAAGAACACAAATAACAGTGAAGTAAATGCAGATGGTTTTGATGAGACAGAGGAAAAAAAAAATATATAGGATAAATGCCTTCAAAAAAAAAATTGCATTAAACTCTAAACAGAAAGTAAATGAAATCAATACAGTAACCAAGATCTGCTGTCAAGCATTTTACTACAGGATGAATTACAAGCCTGCTTAGGTCTTCCCTGCTCTATATTTTTGGCTCATAGTCTGAGCAAATGAACTTTAAAGGTTGCAGGCAGGTCATTTCCCACCTCCCACCCCCCCCTCTTTAATCTCAGACATTTGTAAAATTTCCTAGCCCAATTCCTCTGGCTGGGGAGAGTGCAGAGAAGGCATGAAACAGTTTTGTTTTGTTTTCAAATCATTTTTCTTTGGGGGGGTTGCTTTTTCTTTCAAAAAGGGACTACCCTTGTACATGTCTTTAATTTTCTTAATATGAAGTGTCTACCTACAAGGAACAAGCAAAAGTAAATACTAACCGAGGCATTTCTTCGGGCTCTACGGGAATAACACTCACTGTCTTCCTACCAAGGCAGCAGAGAAAAAACAAAGAATGAAGCGTTGAAAGGACAGATACGCCGGCAGAGCACTTTTAGAAAGACACAGTGAAACTTCAGTAATGTTTAGGAGTCAGGAAGGTTTAAAGCAAATAATGGAAGGTAACACTATGTCAAACTGGGAAAATAAATAAATAAATAAATAAGAACCCCACCAAAACTGTTGCCTTCATTTGTGACCCCAGCCTTGCCCCCCTCCCTTTTAGCCTGCTATAAACTTTCATTAAATCTGCAGAAAACTGTATGCAGTGACTTCTTTATCTATATGTCAAAAACTGATTACACATTCAAGTGCATCTCTCTGCATCTGGGAATCAGTGTACTTACAGTGCTTTTGTAATTAAGCTTTCCAGTTTACAGTCCTTCCAAATAAATCTGAAAAAAATTTTATTTGAAATAATTTGGCAGGGCAATTGTCATTCTAGGGTGCATTCCAGAGAGGCACAGCCTGCCCATTTCCTCCAGGCTAAAAGCATCTGCAGTCTGCGTACCCCCTCTGCAACACACAGCACCGCCACCTTTCACAGGACCAAGATTGCGTTAATACTGCAAACACTGTAAGGTGTATTCTGCTTCAACAGACTGATTTTACACGGAATTTAGAAACAGTGGTAGAGAAGAGGGGGTAAACCCCCCTCCCCCAAACTTTCAAAATTGTAAATTAATGGTTGTCACAGGTGAGCTGATTTCTAAGCAGGCTTGAATCCAGCCATTATAAAGAGCCCATCCAGATTCCCAGCAGGGGATTACTACTTATGTAGTCCAAGCTCACCAAGTAAGGATTTAAAAGAGACTTAATGGCTCATCTGTGAGAACGGAGCATCTTGGGTGGACGGTTGGTCCCTATGGCAGCAGCCTTTCAAAAGGGCATGGACCAAACCAGCTGTTATGCCGAGTAATCATCCAGGCTCACAAGGAAGTCAGGGACTTTCAAAATTCATCTTCCACACTGAAAGTGAGCTGTTCACATTTTGCCTTTCTCGGCGTCTGCAAGCACCTGAACAGCGCTACTCAGGTTGTAGGGCAAGATTATGAGGCCCAGGAACAACAGTGTTCATCTGGTATCACTGGTAAGCGATTACATAAACTTGTGATTAAATAACAGCTGATTTTTTTTTTTTTTTAACAATGAAAAAAATCCAGCCCTTTAACAACTCTTCCGTGCTATGCTGTGGTTCTTAAGATGGTCAGAGCCTTCTAAGGGCTAAGTCCATATTTGATAACCACTTCAGTGGCTTAGCAAACGAGAAGGAAGCTGCATTACCAGAAAAGCGAGCATTGCCGGAGTAGTAGTAACAGTGCAGCTGAAGAGGGCTCCCAAACCAGCAGAAAGATAACTGAAGAAGCATGGATAAAACTTGCCCAAAAATTTACTCAAGGCAGGCTTTGAAAAGACTGAGATCATAATAAAATCCACAAGAAATCAAGCAAACTCCTCCTAAGTGGCTTTAACGAGTCTATGTTCCAATCTAATTTTCAAGTGACCACGTGGAAGCAGAGGTTTGTAAAGACAGATAGCTCTAACCAAACCCTTGCAAGTATTTAAGCTGATCAAAACCCACACTTCAGATATAAATGCAGACCGCAAGTATCCTTGCGGCAAGACTGGAATCTACGTTTCCGATTATGTGAAAACACCTGCTTTGTGGGTAAACTACAAAAGTTCACCGTGTAAAAGTTGTTTAACTATGTTGATCAAGGCCTACCATCCATTGCTCGATGTCGCCCCATTTAGTATCCAGACCATAATATTTCTATAGACAGAAAAGGGAAAAAACAGAGTTTAGATGAGAAAGGTGAACAACCGACTGTTTAGACATGCATTGCCAGGTTACAGCCAACACACAGTTTCACACACATGGATTAGACAAACACGCCAGTGAGAAGCTATACACGGTGCCATGGGAGAAGTCGCCTGCAGCCCGTGTCGAACGCGGCACATGCCCCAAGAAGTTTCCTAGCAAAAGGAAAGGAGCGTTCACCCGAGAGGCTGGGGTACTAAAATAGCTTTTTGTTTTCCAGCAATGCAAAAAAAACCCCAGCGCTCTGGGGAAAGGAGTAAAGACTGTAACGAGTCTTGAATTCCTGACCCATTTAAGTCAAGATTCATTATAAGGCATCTGAACACACAACACTCTCAGGATGAAAAACGCTGTCAAATCACATTTACCGTACAGATTTACCAAATTGGGAAGACAAGTTGAATAAACTACAACTAATGTCTGTGCGTTCTTATTCACTGTTTTTGTGACTCCTCAAAGCTCCCTTTTACAGCACAGGACTGCTTTTTGCTTAGATTTCAACCATCTTGACAGTGGTACAGTATCACTAATGGGGACAGTGGAGGATCCTCTAGGACGTGCTTCACCATAGCAGGCTAGACTGGAAAGCTCTTCACGTTTCAGTGCCAAATGTCATACGGTTTCCTGGAAGATTGCCTCTTCTGATCTGTTTCCCCATTCATCTTTTCTGTGCATAAGATGTGCAGCTTCCCACTGAACTTGCATTTCCACCAGACAGCAAAGTGTTCCGAGATTGGCAAGTTTAACAGGACTTTTCTTCCTCCCCAAGCATGCAGTTAAAAGCTAGTCTCAAAAAGTTTGCATTTGTAATGACAACCATAACATTCTGGTTCATATCACTAGGCTAAAAAACAGTAATCTGCAAAAGGAATTCTGGCTTAAGGAAGCATAATATGCATTTTAGAACAATTTAAGTTTTGCACTTCAGGCCTGGTTCATGTGACTGCAGAAAACACAAGACTATACTTGCCTGTTTTCTTAGAGGCTTGAAGAGGCAGCAGTATCAGCAGTCAAAACGTTTAGGTAACAATCAAAAATTGGAAACTTGTTCCAAACTATACTCCGTATTTAGCGCTCATTCAATGGTATTAATGTAATCTGTGTTACTTGCATTCTTAAAAGCCCCACTCAGTATTTATTAATAAACTTGAAGAAACATCTAAGCACTTTCTTTGATATTGTATCAGGTTATTCCCACTTCAGGCTTCTTCCTCATTAAATAACAAGATGATTTTCATCTCAAGATCATTTTCATCGTAATAGCTCTGAAGAGAAGCAAGCCTGTCAAGAAGTAGAATATGCACATCCTGGACAGCCCAGACCGTACAAGTACCTTTAAATGCTGCCAGTTTTGAGGTCAATTTGAGAAAAAGGAGGGACCTCACAGCATTCGGAAAAACATCAGAAACAAGGCTTTCAGCCTAGGAAATTCAAAAGTGGGAAGTAAATTCAGTGCAGGCAGGTTTAAAGAGTCTGTGAACGTGTCTCTAGAACAAGAAAGAGAAAACAACTCGGCAAGATAATTAACCACATCCCTAACTGAGCACAGAAGCATTCCCCTCCCTTTTCCCCACAAAGTACTTCAGTATGGGCTCCAGTATATCTAATATCCCTACACAGTGCCTAGACAAAAGGCACTCGAGTGAAATTTTTCCCTTCAGCCTGCTTGAAAGTAGTGAGCATTGTATTACCAAGCATTAAACGTTCGCTCACAAGTGCTCAGACCAGTTACTTCCAGGCAGGAGCACGACATGTACCACTGCGCTGTAAAATTATGTATTGTTATGTACATCGCATCCTGGCAAGGACCCCTCATCCTTACAACTACAGTCCAGCTGGCCAGGATTGTGCCCGAGAGCAGAATCTGGGAATTATGCTTCACAGTCACTCAGATCAGGTAAAGCTTTATGAGAGGCTTTCTTTCCCCTAAAGAGATATATGTGATTTTCTGATGCTCAAAACCGATTTAAGTAAAAAACAAAGCAAAAAACAAACAAATAAAAACACATTATGAAAACAGAGAGTCCTTTTTCACATGTAGAAAGGACTCAAACATGCTAACAATTTTTTCGACTACACTGCACCTTCTTTTTCCTTCCTTTTGTTTTCTTCACTTTCAGACAAAGCCTTCTGAATGCAGTTTTGCAAAACAGAGATAAGGGGCATCTCTTAAAAGACTTGCACGTTCTCAAACTTTACCTCTTCACAAGTTAAGTTCCACTTAAAATCTTTTCCTCCACCGTTTAAAATTAGATAGCTACAAGCTTAATATTCCCAAAGAAAAATGTTAACAAATGCAATTGCCGTGGGACTATTTTTAATTTATAACCAGCTAAACAGAACATCCCACTTTGGACTGCACTGGTAACATTTGAAGTATCAGATATTTTATCAAATTGACTCCTTCCCATTTCTTCCTCTAATCAACTACTCTCTCTTCTTCCCAAAGAGGCTTTTTTTGAATGAAGGCACAGGTTAAGAGAGGAAATTACGCTCATCCATTCGTTTGGTCTTTAGTTAGATGTCTCTGCCAGCCTCAAGTTCTCTTTTACCCTGAAAAGGGATATCAAAGTTAAATAATTAATGACATTAATACCATTGAGAGAGAATTCCGGATCAGATTTGCTCGCTAAGGGTCAGTGAAACTGCTAGACTTGCAAACTCACTGGGGGACGCTGTGAGGTTAACCCACATTTCTGCTCACCCACGCCAGACCACCAGAAGTAAACAACTGCCTCGTCTCCCACGGGGCTGCATACGTACCAGAAGATTAATTTTAATTAGTTCCCATAAAGGAGACTGATAGCAAGCCTGTTGATCTGTGGGAAGATGTTAATTTGATTCACTCGGTACATAGCCACCCCCACAAATAAAAACAAGAGTAAGATATATTTGTCATCAAATTCACAAAGTCAGGATTAAATACCAGAGCAGATGATTTCAGGAGATATCTTCATATACATACACTCAAGAACAGCATTTCCAAGAAGCACACGCACACGCTGCTAGGTCAAGCTAGTGAAACATGCAGTTAAGGCTACCGGACTGCCAGAACAAAGCAAAACACGCTTTGGGTTTAGAGCACATTTATCATTCAGCAAGCAATAAAAATATTGCGGGGGGGGGGGAGGGGGGAATGACTTCGATAAGGTGCAAAACAGCAGGCTTAAAGAAACATGCTTCTTCCCTCCCTGCAAAAAAACCTATCGAAAGCTATTCTCTTTCTAGGTACGACACAGTGCACATGCTGGAAAGTAGAGAATAGCTAAACATCACAGAAGAACCATTTTCTGCAAATTTCTGCTGTTTCACAGCAAGTGACCTCGAGGACAGCTGTTGATACCACTATCATCGTTATCATTTAGAACCGTGAGCAGGTAATTGGGGAGGTGAGGGGAGAAGAGATCATGGTTTTAAACTGAGGGGAAGAGAGTATTAATCTAACAACATAAAAGCATTTTTGAACGTTTAGGTCTCATTGGAAGAAAGGCAATAGAGTGTATTTATCGTACGAGTACAAAGTCATTGCATCCCCAATTTACTCCAGGGACTTTTTAAACGTACAAAGTCACCTGAACGTCACCCCTCCCGGTGGCATCCGTTAGATGCGCGCCCAGCCTGAAACACTGTCGGCAGCACCCTTGGCCTTCCCCACGCAAACCACCGTACGGTTCCTAACGACACGCCGAGTCACCGTACGCTCTCATACGATGCCTCGTTTGCCAAATTACTCTTTTGCTCGTTCCTCGCCAGACAGTCTGCAGAAGAGATTACATTAAGTGCCTGACTAGACACGTTTCGCATGGGTCACCTTCCCCACTCCCCTTTATTATCCACCCCACAAGACTATGGGAGGGGAGGAGGGGAATGATATGGAAATACAAAGCCTGCTGTGCATCTTCCTTACTTAAGAGGGTTTTTCCGAAATGCTATCGGGACTTACAGTGTGGGGGGGAGGGAAAAAAAAAACCACACACATGCAAACGAGGAAGACAGACCGAGCCCTACCTTCTGAACTTGATAGATCTACAGGAAAAAGGGAAAGGAAAGAAACAAGGAAACAAAAGCTAGCATGAATGAATAAATAGCAAAGCAGTATTATG